AGACTGTGGTGTACCGAGTGTAGTCGTCAACTACCAGCAGAAAGTAGCGCTCACGGCTCTGCCCACTAACGTGGGCTGGGCCCCACACGTCCATGTGGAGAGTCTGCGGGGGAGCAGTCGTCGGGGGAAACGAGAAGGAGTGAGGAGCGGCGCGCTGCCGCCCCACGATGCAAGGGAGGCAGGGCGGGGCAGACGAGGGCGGCAGGGGAGGCAGAGACCTGGGGAGGCCAGAGATAGGAAGACGAGAGTGCATGCCACGAAGGCGAGGTAGGGAGGGGTGACCCAGACGGTGGTGCCACAGAAGAGTCTGGTGCGACAGGAGGCGACACGAGCAAGAGGCGGCTACCTGACCTGACGCTGACACCTGAGCAGACGCAGCTACCTGAGAAGGCTCGGTAGCGAGTGTGTACAGACTCGACCCTTGCCAACGAATGAGCGTGGCCAGGTGACGCCCCGTCCGTGTGCACGTGCAGATCGACACACGCTGACCCCCAGGAGTGGTGGTAGTGACCATCGCATCCTGGAGGGCAGCGGTACTCACCAAGTTCGTAGAGAACGAGGGGAGGTGAAGACCTGACAGTGAGCCAGACGGAACCGCCGGACACGGGAGGACAATGGAGGAACGGGCCACGACCGGTCCCCCGGAGGGGCCAGCCAGTCTGACCGGGACAGGTGCAGGAAGAGGGGTGAGGGTGGTGCTGTCACGAAAGAAACATCGCGAGGCACCGGAGTCCAACGTGAAAGTGCGCAAGGCCTCAGCAGGCGCAGTACCAGGGAGAGTACCAGACTCACTAGCACCTAGAACAGCAGCGGCTATACCTGGGTCAGGCGGCACACACCGGTAACAGTCACCCTCAGCACTAACAGACAAAGCATACATAGCAGAAAGAATAGCATCAAAGTCTAGGTCAAAGATAGCAATCCTAGACTTAAGCAGATCTGCCCAGCGAGGGAGCGCGACATCGTCACCAAACTCAGCACGCCAACCATCGTCGAGGCGGGAGAAGCAGCGGTGCTGAGTATGGAGCCGCCCGCAAGTCTTACCAGCACGGTCACCCATGCGAATGACATACGGGCAACTACCCCCAGACGCCCCACGCAGAAACCACTCACGAAGCTGCTGGGGAGACGGGGTCTCGCTCCGACGCTGCTGCTGCTGACGCTGGCCACCCCAAGAACCGACACGCCGAGCGCCAGTCCCACCGCTACCAGTCCCACCACCTCCACTGCCGCCACTCCCACCGCTGCCTCCACCACCGCCACCAGAGCCCCCACTCCCGCCAACAGTCCCACCGCCGCCACCACCTCCACTGCGGCCCCCACCACCACTCCCGCTGCCACCTCCACCACCGCCGCTGCCACTATCACCACCCCGGCCTCCCTTGCCCTTGCTGTTGCGGCGCTTCGCACTAGCAGAAGCAGCCCCGACGTCCTCAGGAACAGAGACGTCTGCAGCAGCAGCAGAGGCGTAGGAGGGGGCAAGGGGGGAGGGGGAACACCCCTCAAAGAAGGGCGGGCGCGGAGTGCCACGAGCAGCACCTACAGCAACTGCACTAGGGTTGCGAGGAGATGCTGCTCGAAGAGGTCAACAGTGAGGGAGGTGGGGTCAAGAGAGAGGAAGTTGTCCCTGACAGAGCGAAGAGAGTCAGGGAGGCGGGTGACTATAAAGTAGAGAGTGATGTACATCGGGGGCAAGTTTCTGTCAAGGAGCTCAGCAGGAACGGCAGCGCGGTAGCGAGCGTCACTAGCGCGAAGGTGGGAAACAAGGTCCTCGACTGTGGTAAAGGAGGACAGCTCGGGGAACAGGTAGGGCAGAAGAAGGCGGCCTAGAGCAGCAGTGGCAGGGGAGGAGTAGCGAGCGACTACAGCGTCGTACAGTGCCCGCGTTGTCCTGTGCTGTCCGAAGTGAGCGCATTCAGCTAATGGCAGGTGGTTGCGAATGGCTAAGCGGGCAGCAGCGTCACGAGTAAGCCACTGTGAGCGAGTCGAACTGTCAGATGTGGCGGGAGGGGCAGTAGCAGCGCCTGACGCTAGGTCAAACAGCGAGATACTGTCCTTAGAATCGCTCAGTAGGTACAACTGCAGGTCGTCTAGCCACGTGTCAAACAGAACCGGTCTGCCCTCATGATCAAACGCGAGAACCCGAAGCGAAGCCATAGCTCAGCAGCACGCAGGATAGCAGTAGCAGCAGTAGCAGCAGCAGTAGCAGCTGGAGCAGTAGCAGCAGTGACAGTGGAGCAAGGGGCCGACGGGGCCGGGTGCGGGCTAGGGGTCGTCGTGGGGGCCGGGCGCGGGCTAGGAGTCGTCGTTGGGGGGGGGGGGGGGGGGGGGGGGGGGGGGGGGGGGGGGGCGTGGGCTAGGGACGAGGCCGGGCGCGGGCTAGGTGCAGGGCCGGGCGCGGGCTAGGTACGGGGCCGGGCTCTGGGCTAGGAACGGGGCCGGGCGCGGGGCTAGGTACGGGGCCGGGCGCGGGCTAGGGACGGGGCCGGGCGCGGGCTAGGTACGGGGCCGGGCGCGGGCTAGGTACGGGGCCGGGCGCTGGGCTAGGGACGGGGCCAGGCGCTGGGCGCGGAACTGGGCCGAGCGCTGGGCTAGGTACAGGGCCGGGTGCGGGCTAGGTACTGGGTCAGGCGCGGGCTAGGTACGGGGCCGGCCGGGCGCTGGGCTAGGGACGGGGCTGGGCGCTGGGCAGGTACGGGGGCCGGGCGCTGGGCGCGGAACTGGGCCGGGCGCGGGGCTAGGTACGGGGCCGGGCGCGGGCTAGGTACTGGGCCGGGCGCGGGCTAGGTACGGGGCCGGGCGCTGGGCTAGGGACAAGGCCGGGCGCTGGGCAGGTACGGGGCCGAGCGCTGGGCGCGGAACGGGGCCGGGCGCTGGGCTAGGGACGGGGCCGGGCGCTGGGCTAGGGACGGGGCCGGCCGTGGGGCTAGGTACGGGGCCGGGCGCAGGCTTGGGACGGGGCCGGGCGCGGGCTAGGTACGGGGCCGGGCGCGGGCTAGGTACGGGGCCGGGCGCTGGGCTAGGGACGGGGCCGGGCGCTGGGCGCGGAACTGGGCCGGGCGCTGGGCTAGGTACGGGGCCGGGCGCGGGCTAGGTACTGGGCCGGGCGCGGGCTAGGTACGGGGCCGGCCGGGCGCTGGGCTAGGGACGGGGCCGGGCGCTGGGCAGGTACGGGGGCCGGGCGCTGGGCAGGTTCGGGAGCCGGGCGCTGGGCGCGGAACTGGGCCGGGCGCGGGGCTAGGTACGGGGCCGGGCGCGGGCTAGGTACTGGGCCGGGCGCGGGCTAGGTACGGGGCCGGGCGCTGGGCTAGGGACAAGGCCGGGCGTTGGGCAGGTACGGGGCCGGGCGCTGGGCGCGGAACGGGGCCGGGCGCGGGGCTAGGTACGGGGCCGGGCGCGGGCTAGGTACTGGGCCGGGCGCAGGGCTAGGTACGGGGCCGGGCGCGGGCTAGGGACGGGGCCGGGCGCGGGCTAGGTACGAAGCCGTGCGCGGGGCTAAGGGCCGACGGGGCCGGGCGCAGGCTAGGGACGGGGCCGGGCACGGGCTAGGAACGGGGCCGGGCGCGGGCTAGGGACGGGGCCGGGCGCTGGGGTCGACGGGCCGCGGGCTAGGGGTCGACGGGCCGCATAGGCTAGGAGCGACGGGCCGGGCGCGCGTAGGTTAGGGTCGACGGGCCGGCCGCGTAGGCTAGGGTCGACGGGCCTAGGGGCGACGGGCCTAGGGGGGGTACTAGCAGCGTAGCAGGTGGTGGGCCCAAGGAACCTGCTCTGATTCCATGTCAAAATAACGAACGAGAATGAATGAACAAGCAAACAGTTGGGTACAAGTACTAACCCTAATTGGGTTGTACCCCTTATGGGCTACACTACAGCCTATACAAATGTATAAGCTATAATGTTCTGACACAGACTTTCCGCAGCAGAGTCCGCACCACATTGATGACAGCTCCCATCTCCTGCTGCAGCATGAAAGGTATGAGCAGGATTGCCGTAAAGCGAAGGCGGGATGCAGCCTCTTGCTGGATATCAATGTCTAGCTCTTTGTCCGAATCATCTTCCAGGAAACTGTCGTTCGAGAGCTTTGACATCGTCGTCGCTTTCTCTCCAGGCATAAACCAGAGCTTCCAGGCGCCGACAGCGATTCAGAAGACACAGCCTCGCCATTGACACTTGGAGCAGGAGCATCCGCCACAGTAGGCAGTTCAGCTGGGACCTCCTTGGGAAGATTATCTTCCACCACTTGCTTCCCCTTGGCAGGAGCACGGGGCATGGTGCGATGATGATTAAAAACCGGCTGGAATGTTGACAATAAGGCATGTGAAGCCTGATGAGCCGGATGTCTGAGCACGAAGTCCTTAAGTATGCTTGTTGAAAGGCCAACGAGCCATTGCTCTTGTTGTAGGTGTTAATAGGTTGCTGATAGGACCTCGGGGAAAACCATTGTGCAGTATGCTTAGAAATCGTGAGCACCAATGGTAGGACGTCACGCTGTCATTGTCGCTGAGCAAGGACCTTGGTAATGGAGCGCTGAGATGATAAGCCTTGAACTTAGGGCGTATCCCTGGGTGGTGGCAGGGCCACTGTAGATGGCAGGCGGTTTTTGCGGATGCCACGAATCCCTATAACAGCAGGTTGGTGGCACAAAATTGCCAAACATAAGCTGCAAGGCGATTGGTCGAACGAACGTATCGCATGGTTGGGTTGGGTCGCACGGTCCAGCCACCACATCGCATATCCCAATCTCCCTCGCAAACTGGGCTCGCACACTCCACGTTCGAGCTCTCACATGCCGGTAAAATTCCCGGCGCACCAACTGCTGCCATTGGTCGGGACAGGACCGTGCATGACCCCTCCTTTCAGGGTCACCCAACTTCATTGCATAGGAACGCCCGAAAGTAATCACCACCTCCTCCAGATCTAGATATGTTGTGAACCTTCAGGAAACCCCACTCCACGCGACAGTGCAGTTCCAAAGGCAAGTTTAGAACCTCATCCTCATCATGCCCCCCCGTAAGCAGAGAGACCGTGGTAAGGGAAAGGCGAAGGTAGATGACGACGAGCCATGGGAGGAACCTCCCTACGTCAAGTGGATGAAGGAGCAGTGCGAGAACGGCAATACGCGTGGTAAAATAAGGCGGGAAGCAGCTCCCAGGCGGCACGGCGCCAGCCCGAGCTCAGCGCGTGACGCCCACGCAGATAGCTCTGACGGCGGCGGTGACACCGACGTGAGCGATGACGATCTCGAGGACATCGTCTCCTCCAGCGGATCCGAGGACGACTCCGATAACTCAAACGCGAAGGACAGTAGCGACGAGGAGGAGACCGACGCGGATCCCGCAGCCTCGGAGGCTGGCCGAAGTACACGCAAGCGCAAACGTGACGCGAAATCGAAGCGTGTGTGGAGCGATGAGGAGCTTACTGCACTGGCCGCCGCTAAGTGGTACACCCGCGACAATCTGAAGCAGATGCGTGGGAAACAGGGCAATCAATATTGGAAGAAGCTCCGCACACACATGAAAAAAAGCGACGCAAAGTGGAAGCGCAACAGCACCGCCATGCAACACGCATGGAAGCGCATTGAGGCAGAGTACCGCGACACTCTCCGCCACAACGGCACGTCAGGGAACAAGCCCAAGCGGAAGAAACCCTGGTTCGAGTATGTTTACCTCATTAAGAAGCTCCCTGCCAACGTTAAGCCGCACGTGTTGGATGGTGGCGGAGCACGAGAGACACACGCTGACCCTGGAGCACCTATACGCGATGACGCCGACATGGGCGAGGGTGGAATGGTGACGCCCATGACCAATCTCCGTGATCGTCAAGTCCTGCGGGCCGGTGGCCTTGAAGGCAAGTGTGTCAGCTAGCAAATCCGTGCTATCCCTTTAAACTTTCTAACTCACCAAGCGCATGTGACAGCCACATTTTATGAAGCTTTTGATTGTATCAATAACCTTGCATGACAATAAACGATGGCATTATGCATCCTACACCACCACTCCCCTGTGCAGGCACCCCTTCACCACTGCGCCCCAAGCGTGCCCGTGTCAACGAGACCGCCACCATGGCGGCAGCGAAAGTCATCGCTGATACAATCACAACATGCAATGGTCAGGCGTTGCGGCAGCTAAGCGACACGGTGCAACTCCTCGTGACAGCCATCCACATGGCTGCCACGCTGTGGAGGGCTCCACCTCCACAACCCCAGAATGTGGCGCCGCCACCGCACGCCAATGCGCACGCCCTCACGGACACGCCGGGCGAAGAAGACTCGCCCGCCTTAGGCGGAGAGGCCGGCGACGTTCCCCAGGATGCGGACGATGAGGCGCGCGATGACAGGAAGTCGGACTAGTCGCGCTCAAAGCGCCACGGGCGGTGCCTCCTCAGGTAAGCACGATGCATGTGCTTCCCAAACTGCTTCCTCCGCTTGCGCAGGTCGGACTGTCCAGAACTTTCTGCATCACACCATGCATAGGTCCTCATGCCACTCTGGTGGTACCACGGTGGGCCGGTGCCCATCCACAACCGCCACTGATGCTTGATTGTACGCTTCCTTGGCTCGTCGGTGCGCAGGATCATGTTGTGCAGGATGATGATGCACGCAGTCCCCGCACACACACGTGTCAACTTGCTCTCGTGTCGCCGGCCGAACAGACGCCACCTCCCCTTCAGCGCACCAATGGTCCGCTCCACAACCATGCGGGTGGCGGAATGGATGTAGTTATACGTCTGCTCCCAGCTCTTCATCAGGCGCCTGCGGGTTGCATTCACAGGAGTGAGGCAGTAGCTGCGCAGCGGGTAGGCAGCATCACCGACGATCTGGTACGGTCCGAGGTCACCACGCTCTAGGCGGGCGTGCAGTTCGGACTGCTGGAAGATGCCCTGATCATGCATAGATCCCGGGTGCCCGACGGTGTAGTCCCAGACAATTCCCTTGCTGTCGCATGTAACCTACAACTGGGTGGAATAGACGGACTTCCTGTTGTAATACTCTTGCCTGTGATTCTCCATCCCCCTTATCTCGATATGTGTCCCATCAATTGCTCCAACAACATTCGGCACCCCCCGTACTTCCTTGAAGTCGGATGCCATCTCCGCCATCTCCTCTGCAGTGGGAAAGCGCACCCAGGTCTTCTTGAACCTCCGGGGGAAGTGCACGAGGAAGGCCTCCACAATCCTGTGCACAATGGTCTTGGGCAGACCGAAGTAGAGGCCTAGGTCAATGAAGGTCATGGCGCTGGCAAAGTACTTGATAGGGATGAGGACACAAAGGTCGAGCGGGATCCCGAGCTTCACAATGAAGTGGCTCATGGGGAGGGCCATGACAGGTGCGATGAACTCCAGCAGTTCAGGCGAGATGCGGAAGACGTTTACAAAGTCATCGTCCTCCATAATGCGGAGCTCGGTCACCCATTCCGCCATGCGTCGGGCGCGGCGCTCCTTCCGCTGACGTTGGAGGCGTTCGATCCTCCTGCGCTCTTCAGCGGCCGCCTCATCGTCCCTAGCCTGCGTAGCCCCTTGCATCGCGATCCACTGCAGGGCACCAATGGCCACTGTACGGTTGAAGCTCTCTAGATAGAACCCATATAATAGGTGCACAGCAATGCAGAGCAAGAGACCATCCAGGGAGGACATGAGGGACGGACTTAGCAGGTGAAGAAGACGCGCATCTGGACTGTGCTTTGACTGCCTTTGGACCCCTCGTTGGTCGTCATGTAAAGACGAGTTGCAGCTGGTTGACCATGCGCGAGGTGTTTTTACAGTTTGCCAATTTCCCATTTGACTCAACCACTTCACGCTTGCCAATTTACAGGCCTTTTGTGAGCGTCAAGTTTACCAGTTGCCAGTGCCAGGTGTCGAAGACCTCAAATGGTAGTAACCGGTTTGACATTTGGAGTGATATCGCACGCTGGCAGTGATTGGTTGCTTCTTCTCGTCTGCGACCGTCGCACAATTTGTTGTGCTTGCCACGAACTGCGAGCCGCGGACGGTTCGAGCACAATGTTGATGGCATGCGGTTTCCCCGCATGCCACCAACAGTGCCTGCTACAGTGGCCCTGCCACCACCCAGGGATACGCCCTTAGATAGCTGAGATAACAAGAGGTCAGACTTTGAGATGGATACAATGTTCAACGAGGCGAGTTCAAAACTGCTGTTTTTAAGGGCGTGTCTGATTTTGGAAATTGGCTAAGTTTACATTTTTTTTTTGTCGAATATAGCATTTAAACTTGAGCCGACCTGTGTTCGACTTCCGCTGAACGTGAAGTTTGAACCACGCATAACATTTTCAAGTATGTCAAATCGCACACCTGAGGTCGAATTTGAACGTTCGACCTTATAGGGGGTGCGCCGAGCCGCTCGTAGAGATGTAGGTTACCAGGTATAATTCCATAGACATCGCGCCACGTCAACATACTGACCGTGGCTTTCAGCGGAGGTTTTATTGCGTCGCAGAGGTCTCGCAAAATTCGTCACTCGTCGTACGTGTGCAAAACAACACACGTTCGGTTCACTGTATGCGCCCACATTTATGCATTGACTCGAGTCGAGTTCGGAAAAGTTAGGTCGCATTTGCCATATGTTCTAAGGGAAAGTCTTTCGTCACATTTTTCGCGAAATTAACGAAGCTGGTAACCAGACAAAGTTTGACCTGTCTCTCGAACCTATAATAAAATAACACACGCCCTAAAACCAGCTGACACGTAGGCTTCATGCGCGATGAGTTCCGGGGAGCTCGGGGGCGGCCGTGGCGGCCTTGGTAGTTGCAACATTATTTCACTGTTGTTTTTTTAATATCGCGTGTCTATATACTGTAAAGCGTATGCACTGCACACAGCAGATGCAATGAACCAACATCCGTTAATGAGCAAAACAGAATCGAGAAATTCCAAAGTCAGGGTCCTGTGACTTTTCATGAGCAACTCTAGGCAGGCCAATGATCGTTAGGGTTCGTAATGTAACGGTCCACTGACTAGGGTTAGCTGTTTGGCCATGGTCATTACTGGCGCGACACGGAGTCCATTTAGGCCATGGAATCCCCGAACTCATCGCGTCGTCCGTCTGTAGCGCGACCAACGAACGAGCCGGCCTCCGCTCTCGCAACCCGCTCCACCGTCTCCTCCGCACCTCCCGCCGCCACTGACGGCATCTCCGGCGTCGCATTGATGGACGGCCCGATCTCTGCGTCGTTGAATCTTGGCCGCTCGAATCCGGGACGTGCGGTGCCGGGCAGCCGGATAGTGAAAGAAGAAGCCGCCGAGGACCGTAGGGCAGGGAAACGGGCAGCCGAAGAGATGGGGGAGGATAGTGAGGAGGAGAGCGAAGGGGAAGCGGAGGAGGGAGGAGAGGGAGCGGAGGGAGCGGAGGGAGCGGAGGGAGTGGAGGGAGAGGAGGGAGTGGAGGGAGAGGAGGGAGTGGAGGGAGAGGAGGGAGAAGAGGGAGAAGAGGGAGGCGCGACGGCGAGTCAAGCCCGGAATGGAAGTAGGGGGGCGTTAAAGGGGAAGGGGAAGGGAAAGGTGAAGGGGACGGGGGAGGCGAAGGGGGAGGCGGAGGGAAAGTCGACGGCGGAGGGGAAGCAGAAGCGGGAATGTTCGATTGAAGCGGAGGTGTGCTCCATTTGCCTTGATGCCGTCGATGTGTGCTCCATCGAACGGTCCACAGCACGGCTGAAATGCGGGCACGGGTTCCATCTAGGTAAGTGGATTGCTGCCATCAGTCGAATCTCGGACTTTTTCCTGAGAAGAAGAGAGATTGAGACTCCCATCACCTCCCAATCTTTTGAGTCAGCTCGAAATTCAACTCAATCCACTCTATTCACTCCCATATTTTTCCTCTCCTTCCTCCTCCCGCCTTTTCTCACTGTGTTTCTTTCTCTGCTCCGCCGTGATTCTCCCCTCCTCCCACCCATCCCGCCCACTAGGCTGCATCGGTTTTGTTAACGATTCCACGCAGCCCCTCTTCTCGCCCCTCTTCTGCCTTGTACCCTCAGCCCTCCCAACTATTATCTCCTCTCCTCAGTCCTTGTTTCCACCCTCTGCTCCCCTTCTTTCCTCCGCCTCCCCCTCAGATTGCATCGGCTCTGCATTTAACGCCAAGCGCCGCATGCCGTGCCCCAACTGCCGCAGCGAGGAGCCCCACTCTCACCTCTACTTGCGCATTTTTTCCGTTGTGTTTTCTCGCCCCTCTCCCCACACAGACTGCATTGGATCCGCCTTCAACGCCAAGCGCCGCATGCAGTGCCCCAACTGCCGCAGCGAGGAGCACGGCCACTGGCTCTTCCCCTTCCCCCCTTCCGCCTCCGCCCCCTCTCCACCCCCCCTCCCCGCCTCCTTCTCCGATCTTGCTGCTGCTGCCGCTGCTGCTCACGAATTCCAGGCTACTTTCGGGGGAGGGTTTACTGGTGCAGTTGGGAGGGAGAGGAGAGGAGGGGCAGGCTTGGAGTGGGGGGGAGAAGGGGCGGGGTGGAGGGAAGCAGGGGTGGGGTGGGGGGAAGTAGGGGAGGGAGGAGGCGCGGGGTGGGTGCAGGCTGGGGAGGAGAGGGGGAGAGAGGTGCAGTGGTGGCGGGGGTGGGGGAATTCTGGGGAAGAGTACACAGAGGATGACTATGCTATATCGGAGCATGCTATAGAGGAGGAGTATGCTGTATCGGAGCATGCTATAGAGGAGGAGTATGCTACATCGGAGCATGCTATAGAGGAGGAGTATGCTGCATCGGCGATTGCTATAGAGGAGGCATTGGAGGGTGGGCTGATGATGACTCGGCCATGGATTCATCATGACGTGCGTGCGGGATGGGGGATGGGAGGTGGGGGACGGGGCATGGGTCATGGGGCATGGGGCATGGGGGACGCACACTGACTCAAGAGGCATTGGAGGGCGGGCTGATGACTCGGCCATGGATTCATCATGACGTGCGTGGGGGATGGGGGATGGGGGATGGGGCATGGGTCATGGGGCATGGGAAAATGGGGAATGGGGCATGGGAAACGGGGGGTGGGGCATGGGGCATGGGGCATGGGTGATGTGGCATGGGGAATGGGGAAGGGGGGATTTGGCATGGAGAATGGGGTAACCAGGAGGTGTGCTCCAAACATTATTGGTTGGCCAACGTTGTTAATTACCCAATATGGTTAGGTTGGGGTGAGCTACCAGTTATTGGGCAAGCGAGTTGGCGCCAATAACTGGTTGACGAGGGCCAAGAGAGCTGGCCACCGTCAATTATGGCAAGGCGGGTTCAGGCGCCCTAAACCAAGGGGCTTGGAACCAAAGGTCGAACCGTGCGTAACCTCCCCTTCCCCTCCCCGCCCCCTACCCTTCCCCACTCCAGGCAGATGTACCATCCCTGCAGATGTACCACCCTGGCGAACATGCCTCTCATGCGGCATACACAGACTCATATAGCACCTCTTTCCCCCGCCCTCCCCTCTCCGCGCCCCCTCCGCGCCCTCCCCTACCCCTCCCCTTCCCGCCTCCGCGCCCTCCCCTACAGATGTACCACCCTCGCGAGCGCGCCTCTCATGCAGCCCACACAGACTCTTTTAGCGCCTCTCCCCTTCCCCACTCCACCCTCCCCTACAGATGTACCACCCTCGCGAGCGCGCCTCTCATGCTGCCCACACAGACTCTTTTAGCGCCTCCCCCCTTCCCCACTCCACCCTCCCCTACAGATGTACCACCCTGGCGAGCGTGCCTCTCATGCTGCACACATAGACTCATATAGCGCCTCTTTCCCCCGCCCTCCCCCCTCCGCGTCCCCTCTGCGCCCTCCCCTACCCCTCCCCTTCCCGCCTCCGCGCCCTCCCCTGCAGATGTACCACCCTGGCGAGCGCGCCTTTCGTGGTGCCTACACAGACGCCAATAGCCCGTTGATCACGGCCGGGCATTTCTGGTAACTAGCCCCATTCACCTGTGCTGCTCTGCGCCATTGCAACATCATGTGCCCCAGTCTTGCTGACTGCCTGTGCTGCATGCCTCTCATGGTGCCTACACAGACGGCAATAGCCCGTTGATCACAGCCGGACATTTCTGGTAACCAGTCCCATTCACCCATGCTGCTCTGCGCCATTGCAACATCGTGTGCCCCAGTCTTGCTGACTGCCTGTGCTGCATGCCTCTCATGGTGCCTACACAGACGGCAATAGCCCGTTGATCACAGCCGGACATTTCTGGTAACCAGTCCCATTCACCCATGCTGCTCTGCGCCATTGCAACATCATGTGCCCCAGTCTTGCCGACTGCCTGTGCTGCATGCCTCTCGTGGTGCCTACACAGACGCCAATAGCCCCTTGATCACGGCCGGGCATTTCTGGTAACCAGTCCCATTCACCCATGCTGCTCTGCGCCATTGCAACATCATGTGCCCCAGTCTTGCTGACTGCCTGTGCTGCATGCCTCTCGTGGTGCCTACACAGACGCCAATAGCCCCGTGATCACGGCGGGGCATTTCTGGTAACCAGTCCCATTCACCTGTGCTGCTTGTTTAGAATTCTCAAAAACGAATTCTGGTAGACAGCCGCATTCGCCCATGCTGCTTTGCTATTGCAACATAGTCTCAGTGCTGCTTTCCCATCGCAGTGCTGCTTTCCCATCACACTGCTGCTTTCCCATCGCAGTTCTGCTTTCCTATCGCAGTGCTGCTTTCCCATCGCAGTGCTGCTTTCCTATCGCAGTGCTGCTTTCCCATCGCAGTGCTGCTTTCCCATCACACTGCTGCTTTCCCATCGCAGTTCTGCTTTCCTATCGCAGTGCTGCTTTCCCATCGCAGTGCTGCTTTCCTATCGCAGTGCTGCTTTCCCATCGCACTGCTGCTTTCCCATCGCACTGCTGCTTTCCCATCGCAGTGCTGCTTTCATGTCAATGTGTGCCCAAGTCTTGCTGACTGCCTGTGCTGCTTTCATCGCAGTGCCATTGGAACATCACATCAATGTGTGCCCAAGTCTTGCTGACTGCCTGTGCTGCTTTCATCGCAGTGCCATTGGAACATCACATCAATGTGTGCCCAAGTCGTGCTGACTGCCTGTGCTGCTTTCATCGCAGTGCCATTGGAACATCACATCAATGTGTGCCCAAGTCGTGCTGACTGCCTGTGCTGCTTTCATCGCAGTGCCATTGGAACATCACATCAATGTGTGCCCAAGTCGTGCTGACTGCCTGTGCTGCTTTCATCGCAGTGCCATTGGAACATCACATCAATGTGTGCCCAAGTCGTGCTGACTGCCTGTGCTGCTTTCATCGCAGTGCCATTGGAACATCACATCAATGTGTGCCCAAGTCGTGCTGACTGCCTGTGCTGCTTTCATCGCAGTGCCATTGGAACATCACATCAATGTGTGCCCAAGTCGTGCTGACTGCCTGTGCTGCTTTCATCGCAGTGCCATTGGAACATCACATCAATGTGTGCCCAAGTCGTGCTGACTGCCTGTGCTGCTTTCATCGCAGTGCCATTGGAACATCACATCAATGTGTGCCCAAGTCGTGCTGACTGCCTGTGCTGCTTTCATCGCAGTGCCATTGGAACATCACATCAATGTGTGCCCAAGTCGTGCTGACTGCCTGTGCTGCTTTCATCGCAGTGCCATTGGAACATCACATCAATGTGTGCCCAAGTCGTGCTGACTGCCTGTGCTGCTTTCATCGCAGTGCCATTGGAACATCACATCAATGTGTGCCCAAGTCGTGCTGACTGCCTGTGCTGCTTTCATCGCAGTGCCATTGGAACATCACATCAATGTGTGCCCAAGTCGTGCTGACTGCCTGTGCTGCTTTCATCGCAGTGCCATTGGAACATCACATCAATGTGTGCCCAAGTCGTGCTGACTGCCTGTGCTGCTTTCATCGCAGTGCCATTGGAACATCACATCAATGTGTGCCCAAGTCGTGCTGACTGCCTGTGCTGCTTTCATCGCAGTGCCATTGGAACATCACATCAATGTGTGCCCAAGTCGTGCTGACTGCCTGTGCTGCTTTCATCGCAGTGCCATTGGAACATCACATCAATGTGTGCCCAAGTCGTGCTGACTGCCTGTGCTGCTTTCATCGCAGTGCCATTGGAACATCACATCAATGTGTGCCCAAGTCGTGCTGACTGCCTGTGCTGCTTTCATCGCAGTGCCATTGGAACATCACATCAATGTGTGCCCAAGTCGTGCTGACTGCCTGTGCTGCTTTCATCGCAGTGCCATTGGAACATCACATCAATGTGTGCCCAAGTCGTGCTGACTGCCTGTGCTGCTTTCATCGCAGTGCCATTGGAACATCACATCAATGTGTGCCCAAGTCGTGCTGACTGCCTGTGCTGCTTTCATCGCAGTGCCATTGGAACATCACATCAATGTGTGCCCAAGTCGTGCTGACTGCCTGTGCTGCTTTCATCGCAGTGCCATTGGAACATCACATCAATGTGTGCCCAAGTCGTGCTGACTGCCTGTGCTGCTTTCATCGCAGTGCCATTGGAACATCACATCAATGTGTGCCCAAGTCGTGCTGACTGCCTGTGCTGCTTTCATCGCAGTGCCATTGGAACATCACATCAATGTGTGCCCAAGTCGTGCTGACTGCCTGTGCTGCTTTCATCGCAGTGCCATTGGAACATCACATCAATGTGTGCCCAAGTCGTGCTGACTGCCTGTGCTGCTTTCATCGCAGTGCCATTGGAACATCACATCAATGTGTGCCCAAGTCGTGCTGACTGCCTGTGCTGCTTTCATCGCAGTGCCATTGGAACATCACATCAATGTGTGCCCAAGTCGTGCTGACTGCCTGTGCTGCTTTCATCGCAGTGCCATTGGAACATCACATCAATGTGTGCCCAAGTCGTGCTGACTGCCTGTGCTGCTTTCATCGCAGTGCCATTGGAACATCACATCAATGTGTGCCCAAGTCGTGCTGACTGCCTGTGCTGACTGCCTGATTTGTGTGTGGCAGGTCGGGGTATGATTCGGATCCTTACAGTTACTACCATCCGCCACAGCATGCCGTGGCCTCCATGCGCTCCCTGCCTGATGAGGGTGAGCGGGTGGCGTGGGACTGTGGGAATACCATGCCAGATGATGTTGTTTTGTGCCATGCCACGACCTCATGGCTACAGTCACCATCCGCCAGAGCATGCCATGGCCTCCATGCGTTCCCTGCCTGATGAGGGTGACTGAAGATCCAAAGGACCGTTTGAGTGAAAACGCCGTGCCGTATCATGTAGCGCAGACTCATGTGATCCATGGCATGCATGGTGTGCATGTCATGTAACACATGTGTCATGCCATGCATGGTGTGCATGTCATGTAACACCTGTGTCAAGCCATGCATGGCGTGCATGTCATGTGTGTCATGCCATGTGAAATGATCCCCATCGCCAGAATCACCATTAGCGAGAGCACGGCATGGGTGAGTGAGAATGCCATGCCATGCCATGACATGCCATGTCATGTCATGTCATGTAACACAGAGCCATGCCATGCATGTCATATAAACCCTGTGTCATGCCACGCGGTATGATCCCCATCGGTACAATCTTCATCAGCTAGAGCATGCCATGGCCTCTATGCCTTTCCTGCCTGATGAGGGTAAGTGGTTGGGAATATCATGCCATGTCATGCCATGTCATGTCATGTAACGCAGAGCCATGCCAGGTGGTGCCATAAAACGCAGGGTCATGCCATGCGTACCATGCATGTCATACATACAACACCTGTGCCATGCCACGTGGTATGAATCACGATTCCCATCGGCCATCACTACAACCAGCATGCCATAGCTTAAATGCCTTTCCTGCCTGATGAGGGTGATTGGGAATACCGTTCCTGCCAGGTGATGCTGTTCATGCTATGCTATGTAATGCCATGTAATGTCATGCTATTTTATGCCATGTATCTAATGCCATGTAATGCCATGCTATGTAATGCCATGCTATGTAATGCCATGTACTGTCGTGCTATTTTATGCCATAATGCCATGTAATGCCATGCCATGCTAAGTTGGTTCTTTAAGTTTATGTGTACGTCTTTTACGTTTACGTACAGTTACGTTTTCGTACGTTTACACACCTCCCGAATTATGCCCTTATGTAAGGTCAGGTTAAACTTTTTTTTGTGCTGCCCCATTTTTTTCTTGATGAGCATAAACAAGTAATGTAAATTCTCGTCTTTACTAACACCACTACGATCTAGACCTCACGCGAACACTGGCAATAAAATATGAAAGCGATAAAAAAATCATACCTGCCCGGAGTAAGTAAACGTAATTACACGTACGTATGTGTACGCGTACTTTACGTATACGTGGGCCTCCAGGACATAAGTGATCAACTTAGATGCCATGTAATGCCATGCTATGCAATACCATGTAATGCCATGCCATGTAATGCCATGCTATGCAATACCATGTAATGCCATGCTATGCAATACCATGTAATGCCATGTAATGCCATGCTATGCAATACCATGTAATGCCATGTAATGCCATGCTATGCAATACCATGTAATGCCATGTAATGCCATGCTATGCAATACCATGTAATGCCATGTAATGCCATGCCATGTAATACCATGTAATGCCCTGTAATGCCCTGTAATGCCGTGCTATGCAATGCCATGTAATGTAATTCCATGCCGTGTAATGCCATGGAATGCCATATAATGCCATGCCGTGTAATGCCATGCGATGTAGTGCCATGTAATTCCATGCTATGTCCATGCTATGCCATACCATGCCATGCCATGTAATGGTGTGCCATGGTCTGATGAGGGTGAGTGAGAATACCATGTCGCGTGGCGGTGTGCTGTGAGACACCATGTCGTGTCCTGCAAGGCTTTGCCATGTCATGACACATGCTTTGCCATGTCATGACACATGCTTTGCCATGTCATGACACATGCTTTGCCATGTCATAACACATGCTTTGCGTGACGATGCGCTGTGAGGTGGCGTTCCATGTCATACCATGCCATAGCATGACTTGCCATGCCATGCAATGTGATGTAACACATGCCATAGCAGCACGCCAGTAATAACTATCCAGTTACTGTTACCTCCTCCGCCTTCCTAGTGCAGGTCGTGACTTTGAGTGGCAAACAGGAGGTGGGGAGGGCGGAAGAGGAGGAAGATATGGAAGAGAAGGAAGAGATGTGTCAAGTGCAGGCATGGAAGAAAGGGGAGGGGGAGGAGGAGCAAGGGGGGGGCATTCCTATCCTCCTGAACCCTATCACCCTTCCTATCCTCCTGAACCCTATGACCCTTCCTATCCTCTTTATCCCTCAGAGCCTTCCCGTCCCTCTTCTTCCTCCCGCCCCCCCAACCCGCCCGCCCATGCACATGCATCTGGTTGCCCCTACCTCGCTGCTGCAGCAGCTGCTGCACACTCGGGTGCTCCCCCTTCCTCTTCCCGCTCCCCTGCTCCTCCTCCTGCCTTCGCCCATCCACTCTTTCCTGGTTCTTCCCACAATCCCCATCATTCCGTCCCACAACACCAGCGCCATCACCAGCAGCAGCAGCAGCAGCAGCAGCAGCAGCGGCCGCATTTGCCCCACCACATGCACCACCATCCTGCATCCAGGGGGTTTGCTGGTTCGAATTTGGGGCAGGAGATGGAGTGGGAGGCCTGGGAGCACGCACACCCTGCCACTAGATCATGGTGGCACGAGGGTTTTCCCCCTCCCCGCATGCAGCAGGAGCGTTTTCCCCCTCCCCGCATGCAGCATCAGGAGCGTTTTCCCTCCTCGGGCCTCCATGAGGAGACCTTTCTGCCTTCCAGCCTGTATCAGGAGAGTTTTCCTCCTTTCCACCTGGAGCAGCCAGAGGACGGGCGAAGGGTGAGAATGTGGGATGGCAGGCCCATGGGCAGAGGGGTACCGGACGAGGGTGACTATAACGAATGGATGAGGGGAATGAGAGAGCGGGAGTTCGGCCCTGCTCCTTCCCCTCGTCCTCCCCGCCCCCCTCCCCCTCCTCCTTTTGCTGCCTCGGAGCCCTCCTTCTCCCACCCCCACCACCACCGCTCCATGCGTCCCTCTCCTCTCAATTCGCCTTCTCAAATCCCCTCGCCAAGACCCTCCCGCATGCACCCGCTGCCGCAGCCTCGCCAGAGAAATCACCCACCACCACCACCTCGCATCCCCCAAACACACCCCTTGGGCCCCCGCCAGGTACCTCCTCCACACCCTGTGCCGCCGCACCTCCAAGCACACCCCTTGGGCCCCCATCAGGGATCACAAAACCCATCGTCACGTCACCTGGGAAGTTACGGGCAGTCTCGTATGCCTCCTGATGGTGGGGTTGGTGGTGGTGGGGGGAGCTATGGTGTAGGGCGAGGGGGAGAGAGTGCGCGTGGGGAGCGGAGGTGGGGAGGAGGAGGTGAGGCGGGAGGGTGGGGATGGGGATCAGAGGGAGCGGCAGGATTGAGTGGTGCTTCTGCTGGTGCTGCTGGTAATGGTGCTGCTGCTGCCTCTGCTGCTGTCGGTGGCAGTGGCAGTGACGGTGGTGGTGGTGTTGCTGCTGGTGGCAGCGGCGTGGGTGCGGTGAACTGGCAGCGGGAGGAAGATTCATCAAGCCTACGCACTGCCGGTTCTGCTGCACCCGCTGCTGATCCCACCGCCCCGCCTCCCCTCTCTGCTACGACTGCCGCCCCCTGGTTATCCCGCATGCGCTCCTCCCAGCACCCAGAACCGTTCACAGGCGGCCCTCCCTTCGCCTCCTCTAGTTTCCCCCAGGACTTGAGAGTTCCTCTTGCTTCTGCTTCTGCCGTGGGGAGTGGTGGTGGCGGCGCTGGTGGTGCTGCTGCTGTTGCTGGTGGCCGTGCAGGTGCAGGGTGGATGGCACAAGGCCAAGTCGTGGCATCATCACCATCACCATCGCCATCATCGTCGTTGTTTGAGCGCCAGGGCAACGAGGTTAGTGTGGGAGTGCTAGTGGTGCGGTTGGTGCCCGTGTAGGTGGGAGGTGGATCACATGGAGCCAAGGCGTGGCATCATCATCATCACTATCGCCATTTTTGTCGCTGTTTGAGCGTGAGGGCAACGGATTGAGTGAAAGTGCTGAGTTGTTAGAGCGTGAGGACAACGAGGTGAGTGAGAGTGCTGAGTGACATGCCAAGGGCGTGTTACTGGTGACATGTGACAGACGTGTGACAACAATGTTCGGCTCCACGTCAATGACGAACCGAAAAGCAAGGTTATTAGATAATACACATTTGGTACGTTTCTTGAGAGCCGTGGTTTTTCAAGGATGCCCTTGCCAGGCAAGTCTGCTATTCTTCCACCCACTTTGCATCGTAGTACCAGGTACCTGACATCCGAAAACCCGTGTGATATGTTTTAGATCACGCCTTCAATGAAATTTGTACTTCATAACACATTTTCAACAAGAGTGCTCGCGCGCCATTGTTACAGCTGCTCTCAAAGGCATCAACGGTTAGTCAAACGATTCACGCAATGCGTTGCATTTCGAGTGCCATTCTATTCGTGTCACACGATTTTCATGAGTGTCGAGTGTTTAAACATCATGTTGAGAGCATCATCTTGGACTCTCGAGGTGCCATTCTCGCTTATGGTCAAACGAGCAGCGGCAAAACCTTTACCATGAAAGAAAACGTCATACCGCTCTCCATCAAACAGGTGTTAGATCACATCGAGAAAGTGGTAACAAATCAACATAACAGCCTCACGCAGTCCTGAGCTAAAATGTTAAACTGGTTACATGAAGTATGCAGTGTAGCCCAGGATTGCGTGAGGCTATTATGTTGATTTGTTACCTTTCTCGATGTGGCCGAACACCTGTTTGATGAAGAGGGGGATGATGCCTTCCTTTATGGTAAAAGTCTTGCCGCTGCTCGTTTGACCATAAGCGAGAATGGCACCTCGAGAGTCCAAGATGATGCTGTCAACATGATGATTAAACACTCGAAACTCATGAAAATCGTGTGACACGAATCAAATGGCACTTGAAATGCAACGCATTGCGTGAATCGTTTGACTAACCGTTGATGCCTTTGAAAGCAGCTGTAACAATGGCGCGCGAGCACTCTTGTTGAAAACGTGTTATGAAGTACAAATTTCATTGAAGGCGTGGTCTAAAACAGATCACACGGGTTTTCGGATGTCAGGTACCTGGTACTACGATGCAAAGACGTGTGGATGAATAGCTGACTTGCCTGACAAGGGCATACTTGAAAAACTGCAACTCGCGAGAAACTTATCGAATGTGTTTTTTCTTTAATAACCTTGCTTTTCGGTTCGCCATTACGTGGAGCCGAGCATGTCAAGGGCGTGATACTGGTGTGCCGAGCATGCAATACCACATCCCCATTCCTCATGTGAGAGAGGATGCCAAGGGCGTGTTACTAGTGTGATGGTCATGTGAAGTCGCTTTTGAGAAGTCGCAAATCTGAACTGAGAAATGGGGCGTGTTACTGGTTTGCCGGTCATGAAATACTCACATCCCCATCTCTCAACTTGCTCTTTCTTTCATCATCATTTTTTCTCCTCGGTGCCCTCTCCTGTTCCCACTGATTCCCCCCCTCTCCCTCCCCCCTTGCTAGTACCGCTGTCTGCTCTGCCCGTCCTCTTCCTCTGCCTCCACCACCACCGCGCATCTCTCCCTCCTCCCACACCGCCCGCTCTTCCTGGACATTATTCGTCTGAGGGATCACATGCTGCTCAGCCATGGGGTCGACCCGCTCCCCGCCCACATGCCATTAGCCCTGCTTTGACTCGCTCTGACCTGCTCTGACTTTCTCTGACCTGCCTGCCCGTCTGCACCGCACAGCACCGCTGTCCCACCCTCCTCTCACTGCACCACTCTCCCGTCTCCTACATCCCTCGCCTACAACACCGCATTCTGCCGAGCCATGACATCAACCCATTCCCTAAACACGCCCCTCTGGCCCTGCTCTGACCTGCCTGCCTGCCCGCCCTTCTCCACCGCGCTGCGCCGCTCTGGCTTCACTCTGACCGGAATCTCCTGAATGGTGTCTGACCGGAATCTCCTGCTACATTGCTGAGCATGGCCCCATCTCATGGCTGCCGAAAGGTGTCTGCTTTTCCTCATATACACCACAGTCCACCGCGCTGCATCGCTCTGGCTTCACTCTGATCGGGATTCGGATGATGGTGGTCCCCATGCCTGCCGGATTGCTGACCATGGCATGGCATCTCATCTCACGCCCACCAATGGCACCACTTTACCGTACTACAGCACCGCTCTGGCTTCAATGGATGGTGGTTGGTTGGACCCCCATGCCTGCCGGAGTACTGAGCATGGCATGGCCTTTCATCCCATGCCCGCCAATGGCACCGCTCTCCACCGTACAGCACCGCGCTGGCTTCAATGGATGGTCGACCCCCATGGCTGCTAGGTTGCTGAGCATGGCATGGCCTCTCATCTCATGCCCGCCAATGGCCGTTCAGCGTACCTCATATACACCGTTCTCCACCGCGCAGCACCTTCCCAGTTTCGCTCAACACTTGGGGTGTAAGGAAAGGGCATGTAGTGAGTGAGTGACTTCTTTTCGTTTCCGAGCAATAATCGACCTCTCTGCTCTGCGCCATACTTAGTGGACTGTGTACGGTACCTTTCAGCTTCTATGCATGTGATGCTGCACCTCTTCTGGTGTTGTCTTTCCATGTTTTTTGTACTAAATTGACTCTGCTACACCTCAATCTGTTCATAGTGTTTGTGTATGTACCTAAATCATTGTGTACTGCACTTGACAGCTGCTTATAATTCTGTGCATTGCCATGAAGGGACAGGTGTGAAACATAGACAAGGAGTACGCAGTGGAGTTGAATGGAGTGGAGTGGAATGGAGTGAAGGCAACGACTGCAGCGCATATGATTGAGGTGCATTGCTGCAGCTACATGAGCACTCATCTCATGTCTCTCTCCCTGCTGCTTCATTGCACAAGTTGCTAGAGGGTCGGGTCATGTGGATCAACCCTAAAGCTGCAAACCCGCGAGCAATGACTTTGCCAAGCAGACGGGCTCCATTCCATTCCAAGCCAGCCAATCAGTACCAAGTCCAGGTAGTGGAAGGATAGTACCGTACGAAAACCCCATAGCAACTTGGGGGACAGGAGGAGAGCGTGCTCCTAGTGCTTCGTAACGCGGGCACAGGGTACATTTGACCTCATAGCGACATTCATAGCGACATTCATAGCAACACACAAGATGTATAAATTACTGCCTAAGTTACAGTGTTACCTTGCCCTTACTGTTCCGCCCCAGAGTATATCAGCAGCTCCACTCCACGGGAAGCACCTTGAGCCCTCTAACAACCCTGGGTGCCACTGTAAAGGGTACAGCCCCCCCCTCCTCCACCGCTGCTGCTCTCTCCTTCAACCGCCCTATGTTAGAGTGTTGCCGTGCCCTTACTGTTCCTCCCCAGCCTATCAACAACACCACCACTCCACGGGAAGCACTTTAAGCCCTCTGACAACCCTGGGTGCAACTGTAAAGGGTACAGCCCCCCCCTCCTCCACTGCTGCTGCTCCCTCCCTCAACCTCCCTTCCAATTCACCCTGTCTGTCCCCACCATCCCCCAGCACCACCCCTCGCTGCACTACCAGGGTCATATTGCCCTGAGAGGGGGTTGTTATAGTCAAGGCAACGCCACTAGGTGAGAGGAGGGCAGAGCTGTGGGGGGGTAAAAGGAGGGGAGGGAGAGAAGGGAGGGGAGTGAGGAAGAGAGAGCACTACTAGCGACATGTTGCCCTGAGAGGGGGTTTTTGCTGTGAAGGCGATACCACTATAGGGGGAGGAGGAGTTGTGGGGTTCAGCTGGATGGAGGAGGGCGGAGCTGTGGTGGTGGGGAGGGAGAGAGTTGAAGAGAGAGGGAGCGAGGGAAGAGGGGAGTGTGGGAGAATGGGATCATTCACCTGGTGCATTTACCTGAAACATTCACCTGAGCATTCACCTGAGCATTCACCTGAGCATTCACCTGAGCATTCATCTGAGCATTCACCTGAGCATTCACCTGAAGCATTCACCTGATGGATTCACCTGATGGATTCACCTGAAACATTCATCTGAAGCATTCAACCTCACCTGTACGCCCGGCAGATGCCATGAATCCGCCCGCCCCTCTGTGTGCCCTCATCCGCCCACCCATCACTGAATCGGCCCGTCACTCGCTCCCACAGGGATGGTGGTGGCACGTCCGCATGCACGTTCATCTGGTGATGTTGGGTGGATAGGGGTGGAGTGTGGTTGGGGCGGTTATGCTGGTGGGATAACGAAGGTGCGGCGAGTCACCCGCTCGCACAGGGATGGTGGGGCCACGTCTACCACACTCACCACCACCAGTGTGCCATGCCTCGGATGCACCACCTACCTCCCACCCACCCTCACACCATCTCATGGAGCACTCTGCTTTCCCCCTCACACTCACCTAGCTCCCTTCCCATTGCTCACCACCAGTGCGCCATGCCTTGGATGCACCACCAACCTCCCACCCTCGCACCGTGTCATGCAGCACTCTGCCTTCCCCCTCACTCTCACCACCAACCCTACTCACACTCAACACACACTCATGCTCACCTACCTCCGCCCCCCACACTCACCACCAGCGTGCCATGGTTCGGATTAACCACCCGAGTCAAGGCTCTCAGGAACGGGCCGTCCCTATCCAGCAGCTCCGGCGGGGTCTCATCTGAGCCGTCAAACACATCCACCATCACCAAATCGTACGGCTCCTGTTGCTCCTCCCCATCCCCTGCATCTCCTAATCTCAAATCTTCCTCCTCCACACCCTCCCCTCCTGCTGTACTCTCCCCCCCTCTTCTCCCTATCCTCTCTGCAGCCCTCACAACGAAGCTTACTGCATCCTCGTTATAGACTGCCACCCTTCCGTACACGCCTTGCCACAGCAGCCGCTCTGCTGCTGCTGCTGCTGCTCCTCCTGCTGCTTCTGCAGCAGCCGCTTGGACTCCTGCCAACGGCGCTTCACCCACTGCTAGAGCCTCTCCCTCTGCTACCGATTGAGAAAATGCTTCTGCCTTGGGTCTGACGGCCCATGCTGGGAAGCCCATGTGCTGTGTGGCTGCTGCAATCACTGCTGGATCGATCTCTACAGCTTCTATGTTGGCAGCTGGGGGGGGGGGAGTGGAGGGGAGGAGGGGAAGCGAGGGGGGGAAGAGGATAAGGTAGGGAAGCCCATGTGCCGTGCGGCTGCTGCGATGACTGCTGGGTCGATCTCCATTGCATCTATGCAGGCAGCTGGGGAAAGTGGGGAGAGTGGAGGGAGCAAAGTGGGGGAAGGCATGAAAGAAAGCATGAAGGGAGAGAGCTCAAGTGCCAAGAGGCTGCTGCGATGACTGCTGGGTCGATCTCCATAGCGTCTATGTGGGCGGCTGGGGAGGAAAGAGGGCAGCAGGGGGGAGTGGGGGCGATAAACAGGGAAGCCCATGTGGCGTGTCGCTGCTGTGATGACTGCTGGGTCGATCTCCACTGCTTCTATGTGGGCGGCTGGGGGAGGAAAGAGGGCAGCAGGGGGGAGTGGGGGCGATAAACAGGGAAGCCCATGTGGCGTGTCGCTGCTGTGATGACTGCTGGGTCGATCTCCACTGCTTCTATGTGGGCGGCTGGGGGAGGAAAGAGGGCAGCAGGGGGGAGTGGGGGCGATAAACAGGGAAGCCCATGTGGCGTGTCGCTGCTGTGATGACTGCTGGGTCGATCTCCACTGCTTCTATGTGGGCGGCTAGGGGAGGAAAGAGGGCAGCAGGGGGGAGTGGGGGCGATAAACAGGGAAGCCCATGTGGCGTGTCGCTGCTGTGATGACTGCTGGGTCGATCTCCACTGCTTCTATGTGGGCGGCTGGGGGAGGAAAGAGGGCAGCAGGGGGGAGTGGGGGCGATAAACAGGGAAGCCCATGTGGCGTGTCGCTGCTGTGATGACTGCTGGGTCGATCTCCACTGCTTCTATGTGGGCGGCTGGGGGAGGAAAGAGGGCAGCAGGGGGGAGTGGGGGCGATAAACAGGGAAGCCCATGTGGCGTGTCGCTGCTGTGATGACTGCTGGGTCGATCTCCACTGCTTCTATGTGGGCGGCTGGGGGAGGAAAGAGGGCAGCAGGGGGGAGTGGGGGCGATAAACAGGGAAGCCCATGTGGCGTGTCGCTGCTGTGATGACTGCTGGGTCGATCTCCACTGCTTCTATGTGGGCGGCTAGGGGAGGAAAGAGGGCAGCAGGGGGGAGTGGGGGCGATAAACAGGGAAGCCCATGTGGCGTGTCGCTGCTGTGATGACTGCTGGGTCGATCTCCACTGCTTCTATGTGGGCGGCTGGGGGAGGAAAGAGGGCAGCAGGGGGGAGTGGGGGCGATAAACAGGGAAGCCCATGTGGCGTGTCGCTGCTGTGATGACTGCTGGGTCGATCTCCACTGCTTCTATGTGGGCGGCTGGGGGAGGAAAGAGGGCAGCAGGGGGGAGTGGGGGCGATAAACAGGGAAGCCCATGTGGCATGTCGCTGCTGTGATGACTGCTGGGTCGATCTCCACTGCGTCTATGCGGGTGGCTGGGAGGACAGATGGCCCGATGGGGGGAGGCGAGGGAAGTTGGGGAAATGTGGGGGAGGACTTGGCTGTGGCTGGTAAGGGTGTGGATACGATGGTAAGGGTGTGGATACGATGGTAAGGGTGTGGATATGATGGTAGTAGATAATGTGGGGGAGGACTTGGGGGGCATACGATGAGGACTTGGGGGGGATACGATGGTAAGGCTGTGGCTGCTGCTGCAGAAATTCTTAAAGAATTTCTGTTTCGTTTGCTTTTGTTGCTTTAAGCGTCACTCTTTAGAATTGCTGCTCTTCCACTATGAGCGAAGACCCTTGGGGGGGATACGATGGTAAGGCTGTGGCTGCTGCTGCTGCGACGAGACGACTGCTGGGTTGATCTCCATTGTGTCTATGCGGGCGGCTGGGGGAGGGATGGGGGGAGGAGGGGGGAGTGGGGGGGATACAGGAGCCAGCGGGTGGGACTCGCATGTGCATGTGCATTGGCATTGGCATTCGTGCTTTCAAGACAGCAGGTGGGAGACTCACAGGGAAGATCGTGAGCGAGGAAGAGTGAGGCTGCCTCCTCCGAGACCCAGGCAGAGAACGCGCACAGGGTGGGGAGACAGCGGGTGGGACTCGCATGTGCATGTGCATTGGCATTTGAACGCGCAAGGGAGGCAGACTGCCCCCTCCTAGCCCCAGGCAGAGCACGTGCAAGGGAGGGGGGGTAGAAGTGAGACTAACATGTGTATGTGCATTGGCATTTGTACATTCTCGTGTGGAGACTCACAGGGTAAAGCGTGAGCAAGGAAGAGAGGCAGACTGCCCCCTCCTAGCCCCAGGCAGAGAATGCGTGGAGAATGGGAAGCAGAGGAGGGCGGGTGGTGCAGGTGGCAACTGGTGAGGGCCGCTGCTGCCATGGACTTGAGGTCTGCGCCATATGGGCAAGGAGGAGGGGGAATGGGGGGAGGGGAATGGGGGGAGGGGACAAGAGCAGTGCGGGAGGGAAGGAGAGCAACTGGTGAGGGCCGCTGCTGCCATGGACTTGAGGTCTGCGCCATATGGGCAAAGAGAGGGTGGGAGGCAAGAGCAATGGGGGAGAGAAGGGGGGTATGGAACCAGGGAAGAGGACTTTTGAGGCGCCTCAAATAGGGGATAGGGAACCAGAACAGAGGAGGAGTGCAAAGAAGTTGGGGACGTGCTGGTGAGGGCCGCTGCTGCCATGCACTTGAGGTCTGCACCATGTGGGCAAGGAGGAGGGGGGGGAATGGGGGGAGGGGACAAGAGAAGTGATGGAGAGAGGGGGGAATGGGGGGAGGGGACAAGAGAAGTGCTGGAGAGAGGGGGGAATGGGGGAGGGGACAAGAGAAGTGCTGGTGAGGTCCGCCCGCTGCTGCTATGCACTTGAGGTCTGCACCATGTGGGCGGGGAGGGTGGGAGGCAAGATCACAAGGAGAGAGGAGGAGAAGCAAGGAGGCTGGGAATGGGAAGCTGAGGACGAGGCAGGGAGAGGCGGGTGGTACAGGTGGCAACTGGTGAGGGCCGCTGCTGCTTTTGAGACGTCTCAAAACTGCTATGGACTTGAGGTCTGCGCCATGTGGGCAAGGGGGGGGTGGGGAATGGGGGGAGGGGAGGGGACAAAAGCAGTGCAGGAGGGAAGGAGAGCAACTGGTGAGGGCCGCTGCTGCCATGGACTTGAGGTCTGCGCCATGTGGGCAATGAGGAAGAAGGGGGATGGATGGGGGGGAGAAGAGCAGTGCCGGAGAGGAGAGAGCAACGGGAATGATGAGAGGACAGAGACAAATGAGTTCTGATCTCATTCGGTTAGTTTTGATGTGGGCTTCGTAGCAGTTGGTTAGTTTTGATGTCTTACACTTGCTGTACTGTTTTATTATTCAACGAGAAGGACAGGTGAGGTGGGGAATAGGGAGAAGAGGTGAAGAGGAGTGTAGAGAGGCAGTCAGGTAAAGAGTACAAAATCAAAATGTGGCTACATTCAAACGCGAGGCAGTCAGGTTGTTGCTGCTGCAGTATAACACGTCCTCTCTCCCTCTCCCTTCCCTCCTCTAGTCACACGAAGAAGCAATGGAGGGGCCAAGAGGAGACGCACATTCGAATGCGAGGCAGTCTGGTTGCTGCCGCTGCAGTACAACACGCCTCCTCTCTCCCTCTCCCTTCCCTCCTATAGTCACATCACTCTCCCCCGTTACAGTCACATCCACAGCCACTGTAGCGACCCGCGCCACGCTCTGCCTGGTGCTCTCATTGAACCTCAACACGCGCCACTCGTGCCCCACCACGCGCACAGCTCCCCCTTCTTCTTCCTCCCCCCATTCCTCCGCGTTCTGTGTGGATGGTGCGGGGGCAATGGAAGGGGGGGCGAAGCGAAGGGTCAGTCACATTCCTCTCCCTCGTTTTGGTGTCATTACTTCTATAGGCACATTCACAGCCACGTCAGCGCGCTCTGCCTCGTGCTCTCGTTGAATCTCAGCACCCGCCACTCGTGCCCCACCACGCGCACTGCTCCCCATTCTTCTTCCGCCCATCCCTCTGTGTCCTGCAGATGGAGAGAGGGCAGGGGGCGGAAGTGGATGAAACAGCCGCGCTCTGCCTCGTGCTCTCGTTGAATCTCAACACGCGCCACTCGTGCCCCACCACGCGCACTGCTCCCCCTTCTTCTTCTTCCCCCCATTCCTCCTCATCCTGTGAATGGGAAAGAAGGACACAGAGGGGAGGCGGAAGTGGATGAAGCAGCCACGCTCTGCCACGTGCTCTCGTTGAACCTCAACACCCGCCACTCGTGCCCCAGCACGCACACTGCTTCCCCTTCGTCTCCCCATTCTTCCGGGCCCTGTGGATGCGAAGAAAGTGCCACCATTCTTTCCCATGCACTCATGCATCATGGGCCCCATTCTTCCCCATTCATGGTGCATGCTGTGGCATTCTTCGTCTCCCCAATCTTCCGGGCCCCGCAGATGGTGGGGGAGAGGAGAGGAAAGCGGCAGAAGTGGAGAGGGGGCGAAGGTTGGGGCAAAGGGTGGGTTTGGTTCTTCCTTTCCCGAAATTGGATAACCCAAGTGAGGTAGTCCATTTTGGGTGATAATAACGAGGGAACGCAGCGGCTTGCCTCGTCAGACGCGGGGTGGGATGTGACAGAAACGGTGCCATTCCCCCAATCCGACGGCTGTGAGAACACCTCGTCGCCCGCCCCTTGCGTGCCTAGGGTGGTAATAATGAGGGAAACGGTGCCAGCTTACCTCGTCAGACGCGGGGTGAGATGTGACAGAAACGGTGCCATTCCCCCAATCCGACGGCTGTGAGAACACCTCGTCGCCCGCCCCTTGCGTGCCTAGGGTGGTAATAATGAGGGAAACGGTGCCAGCTTGCCTCGTCAGACGCGGGGTGAGATGTGACAGAAACGGTGCCGTTCCCCCAATCCGACGGCTGAGAAAACACCTCGTCGCCCGCCCCCCTGCCCCACCCGCCGCCCTGCGTGCCCCACCACTCGGGTGATAGGTCCCACCGGCCCGGGTCCTCCCGGCCCGGATCCACCCGCGCCGCTGTGCGACGCGACTTAGAAGACACCTGCACCTGCCGCGCCGCGGCTACGACTGGGGTAGGTGGTATCTGCCGCCGGGATGTTCGAGACGAGAGATGGCGGCACCGGCTCGAGTGTGATTGTAACGAGGTGAGAGACGGCGCTGGGGAGCGAAAAGGCTGCTGGAGGAACCGGTGACTGTATCGAGGGCTAGGCTGTATACTCAGGAATGTTTTTAGGAAATGGCTTGGGCGATTTGAATTACAGCGAATAACCGTCTCAGAATGGTCTAGGGACGTAATGTGAGGAGGGGCCGGAGTTGAATGGGAAGAGGAAAGCGCGTGATGCGCTGGAAGCGGGGCAGAATGCGCCATAGCGAAATTCGTGTGTATACAGAAGGCGCGATTTCTCACAGGCAACTTACGAGTACTTTCGTTTCACCACATCCTCGCGACCCAATGATGGAAACTGTTTTTGAATCCCGAGCATGCTTCTTGCTCACCAATGAGTTGTGCGACAATTTTATCAAGTGCAGTACACTAGACCCGCTAAAGTAGCAAATTGGTTCAAACCCCGCTATACTCAAGCATCTATGACATCAGCCAGACATATATAATACAATGCGATTAGATGTCGAAATGCGGCTTAGTAACACATAGATTATAGAAATTACTGCAAAAAAAAACACACAACAATGTGTGATAATTATGCGCTTACAAGCCCTGCTTGTACGTCAGCCTCAATCTCCAAAACCTGATCCATCACACAACCCACCAGCACCGGTCTCCACTCCTCACATTCCTCTGCACACTCCAGTGCAACCATTGCTAGAGAGTACAACACCTCCTCCGGCCAATCACAGCACGGCTGCATCTGACACGACTGGCGTGCCGACCGCGCCACAACCCCTACCGCCCGGTGGATGTCCGCCGCTGCCCAGCAAGCAGCCAGAAGCTGCCGAACTGCCCCACCGTCCACCCACCCTGTAAGCAGATGCAGTATTAGCAACCCAAAAGCAAACACATCCCCTGCCTCGGCTCCCACACTCTGTCCCTTCCCACTCTCTTTCATACCCTCAAACCAACCCACTCCATGCCCCTCCCTTCCCTTCCTCTCTCCGCCATCCTCTGCCAAACACTCAAATCCCTCCATACCCATCTCTCTATTCAACTTCTCAGCCATTTTCCCCGGGTTTACAGCAAGCGCCGCCACACCCGCCAGCAGCAGCTTGCACGAGTCATCACGAGTCAACAGCACAGTCTCCACTCCCAGGCATCCCGCCGAGACAGGTGGCGACTGCTGGTGCAGCCACGTCAGCGCACGGCACGTCTGAGTCACGATTTTCAGCCGCGTCTGCCAGCTCAGCGGCCTAAGAGACCCGCTGCCGCCCAGACTCCTGCTGGCAACTGAGCCGTTCCCCACACTACCCTCCACATACTTCTCACTGGTGCTACTGTCGGGACTATTGAAACTCCCTGCGCTGCTGCTCCTATGCACCAAACTCCCGCTGCTGCTCGTTCGACTCATAGCACCGCCGCCACCGCCGCCGCCAGCGCCGCAGCAGGCGAGCCGCGTGGCCAATGAGGTGCAGCCAGGTGGGCGCGGGTAGACGAGGCAGCGGAGCGACGGGGAGCAGCCGAGCAGAGGGCAGATGTGTGCGTGCTCTAGCGGCGCTATGAACCGCTGCGCGGCAGACTCAAAGGGAGACGGAGCAGAGCCGTTTTTGGAGTTCCCAAGGTTTGTGTTTTTCCCCCCCTCAGGATCTGCCGTCCCCGAAAGCCAATCCGGGCCGTTCATCTGCGCGGCGACGATCTGGATCCCGCCCATGTACCCGTTATAAGCGCGGACGAGCGGGTGACGTGGCATGAGGCAGAGGCGGTCGCTGAAATTCCCCGTGGCTCCCGCGACAGTGCCAGCGTCCAGATGCAGACAGCCGGGCTGCGATGAAATCGAGGGAAGAGAGGGGAGCGCGTTCCTGTGCGGCGGTCGCGCGGCGACGAGACTACCGGTGGTGCTGCTGCGTCCGTCGAACGGACCGTCGAATGTATCCGCGTGCCCCGCGTCCGCCGCCTTGCCGTCCTCCGAGCATCGGCGGAAGGGCATCGAGGCTCCGCCCCGTACACCCCCGCGCGACCGCGGAGTCTCCCCCTCCACTAGAGTCACCTCCAGCCCGTCCGCGTCCGCGCCCCCCTGTCCGTGCGCCTCCGCGCCCCCGCGCCCGTCCACCACGATTCCCGGCTTCGTCGGCGCTTTCTTGCCGCCCTGCGACGCTTTCTCTCCCCACTTGCTGCTGTGCGACGCCTCGAAGTAACCCGGCGACGGCGGGCGCGGCTGCGACTGCTGCTTGAAGCTCCTGTTGCTGTCCGCGGGCGACGCGGACTTTAAACTGCGGGGCGGAGATCCCAAGGACTCGCTCCTCTGCGGGCCGGACTGGGAACCGGACAAGTCTTGCGAGCTCGTGCGCCAAAATGACGTCAGCTTGGCGCTCAGCTTGCCCGATCCGGACGACGATGACGTGGCAGCAGCAGCGCCATTGGCGGGGGGGGATGCAGAGGACGCTCCGGGCGGAGAGGTGGAGTTGGCGCGCGGTTCGCGCTCCGCCGGGGGGGAGAACTTGCGCGAGCCTGCGGGGGAGAGGAACCCCCGCGGGGGGGTTTGGGGCGCGGTGAGATAGTGCGCGTCCCGGCCAGCAGCATTCCCGCGCGCCAGTTCCACGACGGGAGACGCGGCGCAGGATCCGGGGCTGCCGATGGTGATGTCTTTGAGGACCTTCTTGCCCTGCAGCGCGACGAGCCGCGCGTTGTCCGGGAGGTGCGCCGCGAAAAACGGCCCGGATAAGGCTTCGATGATCGCTATGGCGGACCGCTTTCCGAACATGCTGGGCCTGAAAGGAGGTGATGGAAATAGAAAGGCAGATGAATGCAGGAAGTGAAAACGGGTCGCAGAGAGGAAACAAGACAGAAAGAAACGAACCGCAGAATGAACGTTTAGAAGTCGAGCGAATCGCGGAGTGCAGAAGTGCGAGCTGTAGCGTGCGTGGCGGAGACGAAGACACGGTGGAAAGCAGGGGAAATGGGGGAGGTGGGAAAGTGGGGAGAGGAGAGGAGGGGGGAGGGGGGAGGGGAAAACGGCGCGCAGCGTACTTGGCGGAGACGAAAACGCGGTGGAAAGCAGGGGAAATGGGGGGAGAGGGGAAAGGGGGGAGAGGAGGGGGAAGGGGGAAACGGCGCGCAGCGTACTTGGCGGAGACGAAAACGCGGTGCGGCGAGAGCTGCTTGGCGATCTCCAGCATCCCCGCCTTGCGGTCGTCGTTGCGCACGACAATGATGTCCACCTCCGCCTGATGCGGCGAGAGGGGGGGAAGGAGGGGAAAGGAGGATGGGGGGAGGAGTGGCGGCAAGGGTGAGAAAGTACCTCCAAAAGAAACGCCTTGCGGTCGTCGTCGCGCCACACGAGAAAGTCGGAACGGAAACAGTCTGAACACACGCACAAAAGGAAATAACGATCGTAATGCTGCTCCTACTAGTACTGAGAACGCGCAGCCACGAGAACGCATCTGGAAGCAGTCAGTTAATACCTCGTTTTTTAGCGCGAACTTGACGAGCGGGTCGAGCAGCATCGCGCGCATGTTCTTCTCGTGCGTGTCCGCCGTCATCGGGCTGACCTCGCTGATGGGCAGCCGCATCATGTCGCCTGCGCCATGGTCACCGATGGGAATACGGAAAAATGAGTTTAGAGAGGGGAGTGAATCATCGCGATGGGCCGCACGGCTCGAAGCTATCATGGAGTCCGTCAGCTTCTGAATCAACTCAAAAACTGCCTTCGGCGCGGGCCAGAAACAGAACATGCAGCCTTGGGGTCACCGTAGGCTCACGCGACCGAAGACCGCGAATGCGGCTTGGATAATTCTGATGAGTGCGGGCTTACGATCGACGGAGATGTGCGTGAGGACGTGCACAAGGTGGATGCGCGCCGATTTCGTCGCGCCGCTCATCCGCCACTCCGCAATGGCGAACGCCAACGCGTCCTCGCTCAGACTCAACGACCCATCACGCGCCTCCACCAGCCACGCCGCCATCGCCGCTGCCATTCCGGGGCGCCGCTGCTGCTGCTGGGGAGGAGACTGTTCCTCCTCGATCTCCATGTCTTCCCGTTGGATCGCCACGATGTGATTCGACGAGTCCGTAGAACGCGGTAACGTTCCGCGGTATGATGCGACGGCAGACACGACTAAGGAGCTTCAAGTTGGAAACAACACCCCCCACCCGAGAACCGATTTTGGAAGATGGTTGGGATCTCAATGCGAAGCTGAACGGAACTGTTCTATGAACTACGCCTAACTGGACTCAGCGAGGGGTTGGGGGCTTTTGGTTGGGAGCTTCGTTCTCGTCCGTAATACGTACACGTATAAACAAAACGCTTGGTAACTGTGTTCGAATCATGTGGCTGGGGATTCAACAGAGTTCGTGTCACGCTAAGTTTGACGATGCCAGCGGTAGTCCTTCGAAGAGAAATCTTTCAGCGTGGACGGTGGTGGCGATCAAACAAACACATGGACACGCAGATGGAATGTGGCTGCGGGGCTGTATTGTTACAGTAACGAGCAACAACACAGCATTTGCCGGCTTTTTCTCCTCGCAACGTAACATGAGTTGCGCGAGCAGCGTGCCTGGGGTTTGGTTGGTTCAGAATGGTTGAACCAGTTGGAAATCGTAATCGATTTTGTTTCAGTGATCGATCTTGGCTTTTTGCTGAAATTGCTTTGGCTCTTTGCTAGGGACAATCAGATGTGGGGGAGATGTGTGGAAGGCAAGGAAGGGGTACGGTGAACAAGATGGCGGCGCGAAACGTGTACCTCGGGTCAGCTTCGAAATGCGCGCTTCGACGGATCCAACATGGCAAGACTGACCTTTGCTTTAGTGGTTTGGCTTGGGCCTTTTCGACGGCAGGATTTCATTCTAGTAGTCAAATACTTTCCACGCGTCATGATCTGTTTCTTCTCACGCTTTCGTGGCAACAAAAGTGCTGTATGTTCGGGAGAATATTCCCCAGGCTCGACAGAATACGGCACCAAGCCTCGGGTCTGTTCAGTGCTTTTCTTCCCACCTGACCTGACCTGACACAAACTTGCCTTGGCTCAGCAGGAAGGTTGCCCACCCCAGTCTACGTGTACTCGACGATTCGAATATGCTTCTGGACGGAACTTTTCAGCAGGGACATTGCCACGTCAGATCAATGCTGCTGTTGCTGCAGCCTTCGGTTTGCATGAAGATATCTCAAGGTCGCAGTGGTGCCCCCTCACAGTCGCAGAGGGCAGAAAAAGACAGCAAAACGACAAGGAGTGACAACCAAGCAAAACCTCAGTCATGGAATAGAAATCCCCAGACAACAAATGATACTCCAAACATTTCTTTTTCAGAAACACAAATATGGTACATCTACCTAAATTTATTCTTACTTAAAGGAGCATGAATAATGGTTCAACCGTATGCAATCGACATGTTAGAAATGGTATGGGTTTAAAACAGCACTTTACGATATGGTGGAATCAAACAAATTATTGCTCAAAGCGCACGTACGTGTATGTGAATGCGCGTGTAGGGGGGTATGCGTGCATGCGCGTTTGTGTGTGCGTGAGGGGGGGGAGGGGAGGGGGGGGGAGGAAGGGAGGGTTTGGGTGGGTGGACGGGTGCGTGCGTGCGTGCGTACATTGAGTGTGTCTGTGCGTATTTCTCATCGTGTGTCTGTATGTGTGTGTGTGTGTGTGTGTGTGTGTGTGTGTGTGTGTGTGTGTGTGTGTGTCTGTCTGTCTGTCTGTCTGTCTGTGTCTGTGTGTGTCTGTGTCTCTGTGTGCGTGTGTGTGCGCGCGCGTGTGTGTGTGTGTGTGTGTGTGTGTGTGTGTGTGTGTGCGCGCGCGCGCGCGTGTGTAAGGTGCATGCATGCATACGTGCACATTTGAGGGTCTGTGTGTACACATAAGAAAAGTGAGAGGAGATGTAGCAAGTCCAGAGTGGGGGGGAAGGCCAGAGTGTATCCAAGTCTGCTTCCTTTCAAGCAGTTATGCACACTTGAGAGTCAAAAGTCGATGGCTAAAAACGCGCACTATCCAACTCACCCATTACACCCCATCACTGTGCCCATCACCAACTAAGAGCGTGTTCCTACACCTCGTATCATACATACCTTGTATCAGATTCACGTGGTTAAATACGTTTCAGTGCGTTCAACAGCGGTTGGATGAGTTTAGTGCGGTTCGACGCGAATCCGATACGAGGTTTCCTGACGAGGCTGTAGGAATACGCTATAAACCACCCTCCAACGGAGCCACCTCTCTACCATACTCCAACACCAATAACATCCGGCAAATCTTCCACCTGAACCTGTAACTGTTGTAACCGCAACCCCATGCCACCCACACTATCCTGCACCTTCTATAATTCTCAAATGTCATCCTCTAACGCAGCCGCCTCTCTACCAATAACATCGGACAAATCTTCCACCTGAACCTGTAACCGCTGTAACCGCAAGCCCATGCCATCCAGCCTATCCTGCACCTTTTGCAGCCGCGCCCTCTGCTTCTCCGCTCCCCCTCCACCAGGCTCCAAGGGGCAGCATGGGCTGATGAGGAGATCAAAGGGGAGACTCACAGCCCACTGGGGGCTCGCCGCCTTAAGCCTGCAGGACAACAGGGGGTATGGGATAGGTGGAAGGAAAAACACTGTGCCCTCTGCTTCTCCACACCCCCCCCTCCATGCTCCAAGGGGCAGCATGGGCTGATGAGTGGATCGAAGGGGAGGGTGACGGCCCACTGGGGACTCGCCGCTTTCAGCCTGAGAGGTGGTGCATGGGGCAGTGGGGGTGAAGGGGCGTATGGGGGTATGAGCCTGCAGGGGCTGATGAGCGGATCCAAAGGGAGGCTCACGGCCCACTGGGGACTCGCTACTTTCAGCCTGAGAGGTGGTGCATGGGGCAGGGGGCATGGGGCAGGGGGCAGGGGGCAGGGGGCAGGGGGCAGGGGGCAGGGGGCATGGGGCATGGGGGCAGGGGGCAGGGGGCAGGGGGCAGGGGGCAGGGGGCAGGGGGCATGGGGGCATGGGGTAATGGGGGCATGGGGCATGGGGCATGAGGGCATGGAGGAAAAGAGGGTACTGCGGAAGAACCTAGTGCGGTGAGGAGGGGTATGGGGGTGTGAGCCTGCAGGGGCTGATGAGCGGATCGAACGGGAGGCTCACGGTCCACTGGGGACTCGCTTCTTTGAGCCCGAGGGTGGTGCATCCAGCAGGGGGGTGAGGGAGGTGAGGGGGGGTATGGGGGTATGAGGCAGCAGCGGTTGACGAGGGGGTCAAAGGGGAGGCTCACGGCCCACTGGGGTGGGGACTCGCTGCCTTGAGCCTATAGGACATCACGGGGCAGCACAGGATGAGGGGAAGCAGGGGGGTGAAGTAAAGAAGGTGGAAAGTTTCCGTATTTGCTTCTCCGCACGCCCCCCTCCAGGCTCCACGGGGCAGCAGGGGTTGATGAGCGGATCGAAGGGGAGGCTGACTGACAGCCCACTCGCTCTGACAGCCCACTTCCCAGAGGGAGACCTTGCTCTGGAAGCTGTTGTGCTGGTTTTGGAGAATTCTAAAAAACCAGCCCACTGAGGACTCGCTGCCCAGAGGGAGACCTTGCTCTGGAAGCTGTCGCGCATTACCAACTGCCTGTGCGCTGCCACGTGTAGAGAGGGTGTTTTTGAGACATCTCAAATGTAGAGAGGGTGTTTTTGAGACGTCTCAAAAACACCCAGAGGGAGACCTTGCTCTGGAAGCTGTCGTGCATTACCAACTGCCTGTGAGCTGCCGCCCGCCCACTACCAACTTCAAGTCATCTCGTTTTGAGGCGCCTCAAAACTAAACTGCCTGTGAGCTGCCGCCCGCCCACTATCAACTTCAAGTCATCTCAAAACGTCGCGATGCCCGCCCCACACACCCTCTTCACACACCCTCTTCACACACCCTCTTCACACACCCTCTTCACACACCCTCTTCACACAGCCACCCACCCATGTTGCCACACCACGAGCTGGTTTTGAGAACCAGCCCATGTTGCCACACCACCCAGCTCACCTGTCTTTCACCTCCGCCACTGCCTGCGAGCTGCCATCAGCTTTCTACCTACCTCTCTCACGACAACCACACTCCCCGGTTACCCTGTTTGCAAGCCCAACCAGCCTCACCTCTCCTTCACCTCCTCCACTGCTTGTGAGCTGCCATCTGTCACCTACCTCTCACGGCAACCACTCTGCCTGCCAGTGGACTGTCAGGGGACTGATACCCACTTTACCAGGTCACCCACGTTGCCTGCCTACCCAGTCTCATCTCTCCTTCACCTTAGCCACTGCTTGTGAGCTGCCATCTGTTACCTACCTCTCTCACGACAACCACACTCCCCTGTTACCCTGTTTGCAAGCCCAACCAACCTCACCTCTCCTTCACCTCTGCCACTCCCTGCGAGCTGCCGTCCGTAACCGCAATCGTAACATCGACCACTCCCGCCGCGCGCAGATCCACAGCCAGCACCGGGATATCTTGAGGCCAGAAGTGGACGGCGCTAAAGTCCAAAGATTGCCGCCCCTGCTGCCGAGCCTGGTGCCGAGCCTGTCGGCGGAGAGTGTTTTTGGACTCGAACCGGACCACCAGCGGCTCCAAGCCTGCAGGGCAGGCTCGGATGTGCGCTGTGGTGCTGCCAAGTGTCACGATGCGAGCGGCCAGAGCTGCTTGATACGCCTGCATTGACTGTGTGGGTGGGATAAGATACGGTGGTGGGGATAAGATACGGTGGTGGGGATAAGATACGGTGGTGGGGATAAGATACGGTGGTGGGGATAAGATACGGTGGTGGGGATAAGATACGGTGGTGGGGATAAGATACGGTGGTGGGGATAAGATACGGTGGTGGGAATAAGATACGGTGGTGGGGATAAGATACGGTGGTGGGGATAAGATACGGTGGTGGGGATAAGATACGGTGGTGGGGATAAGATACGGTGGTGGGGATAAGATACGGTGGTGGGGATAAGATACGGTGGTGGGGATAAGATACGGTGGTGGGGATAAGATACGGTGGTGGGGATAAGATACGGTGGTGGGGTGCAGATTTTTGAGACGTATCAATAAGATACAGTGGTGGGGTGCAGATTCTAGAGACGTATCAATAAGATACGGTGGTGGGGTGCAGATTCTTGAGACGTATCAATAAGATACGGTGGTGGGAGGAACAGGAGGAACCCTCAATTCACACACACAACAGGTGGGCGGATTTTTGAGTCAACTTTAAAAGAATGGTTGTGCCTGCTTTGACTGTGTGGGTGGGGTGGGAGGAGAAACAGTTACGTCAGGGAGGGGAAAGGAGAAACTTTTGAGTTGACTCAAAAGTGGCTAGGACAGCTTGATATGCCTGCTTTGACTGTGTAGGTTGGGAAAAATATATGGTGGTGGTGGAGGCTGGAGAAACCCTCAGGTTATACACACAACAGGTGGGTGGATTGTTTAGTCGACTCAAAAGGAGTAGCCAGGGCTGCATGCTGTGCCTGTCTTGACTGTGTGGATGGGTGGGGAATAAGGTATGGTGGTGGGGGAACAGGAGAAACCCTTAAGTTACACACAACAGGTGGGCGGATTGTTCAGTCGACTCAAAAGGAGCGGCCACGGCTGCATGCTGTGCCTGTCTTGACTGTGTGGATGGGTGGGGAATAAGGTATGGTGGTGGGGGAACAGGAGAAACCCTTAAGTTACACACAACAGGTGGGCGGATTGTTCAGTCGACTCAAAAGGAGCGGCCAGGGCTGCGTGCTGTGCCTGCCTTGACTGCTTTTGAGGCGCCTCAAAAGCCTCAAAAATTGAGGAGCTTCAACAGTCGACTCAAAGAGAGTGGCCGGGGCTGCTTGCTGTGCCTGCTTTGACTGTGTGGATGGGTGGGGATATAGATAAGGTGTGGGGAGACAGGAGAAAACCTTCACCTACACACACAACAGGTGGGCTGATTGTTGAGTGGACTCAAAAAGAGCAGCCAGTGCAGATTGGTTGATATGCGTGCTTTGACTGTGCGGGTGGGTTTTGAGACGTCTCAAAATTTGACTGTGCGGGTGGGTTTTGAGACGTCTCAAAATTTGACTGTGCGGGTGGGTGGGAAACAGTTGCGTCGGGGAGGGGAAAGGAGAAGCGTTTGAGTTGACTCAAAAGTGGGGACAGGAGGAACCCTCAAGTTACACACACAACAGGTGGTTAGGGTTGCTTGATATGCGTGCTTTGACTGTGTGGGTGGGTGGGGAAATAGACACGTGGGGGCAGGAAGAACCCTCAAGTTACACACGCAACACTTGTCATGAGAGAGAATGGCAGTGGCACAGGGGAACTGCAAGCATCAAAAGCGGAAAATCAATGCAGAATTTACCTGGAAAGTCACCACTGCGTGTAGCTGTGGCTCAGGAGCAGGCAAGGAATCTGATTGGTTGAAAGGTCCGCCAGCTCCCCCTTCTGATGTTTTTCCAGCTGACCGAAATGCAGATTGCTCCAATCGCAGGCTCTCCACCTGCCCGAACTCTTCAAGAGCTGCCCGAATCTGGGCTACACTGACCAATGGAGAGACATCAGTGAGTGTGACTGTAAAGAAGCTTGATTCCTCTGCAAGCGGAGGGAAAGAGAAAGAGTTGTTGGGCAGCCCGGAACCTTTTCCTGACCGTTCCACCACCCCCCATCCTGCCGCTGCTGTTGCTGCTCCCTCCGACCCTAACCTCCCCAAGCCTGCACCTCCCGAGCCTGAACCTCCCGAACCTGCTACCGCCGAACCTGCATTTCCCGAGCCGAAACCAGCGTCTTCACTCCTACGAAGGGGTAAACTGCCAGCGGAATGCGACTGTGAAACTGGCAACTGCGAGCTTAGAAGCTCTAGAAGACCATCCGAACCACCAAACCCTAAACCTTGAACCCTCCCCTGCTGCTGTCGCCTGCTCCCTGCCCTGCGCTCCCCATTTCTCACACTCCTCTCTGTCGTCTGCTTGCTGCTGCTCCCATTCTGCTGCTGCCACGTCAGCCTGTCCACGTGGGCCCGGGTGGTTGGGGAGAGGAGTGGGAGGGTGTGTCTACAGGGAGAGACTGAGAGAGGTGCAGAGAGAGGGAGAGGAGAGGAGGAGGAGGAGGAAAAGGAGGCTGAGGAAGTAGAGGAAGAGGGAGAACTGGAAGAGGAGGAGGAAGAGTGTTGGGAAGAAGATAGGGCACTCAAAAAGCCTTCCTCAGTCTTAAAATACACCACAGCACGTGTCCCACTGCCATGTGTCCCCTTGTACAGCCTCACATCCACCACCTCCCCTCCTCGCCCCTCCATCATCTGCCACGTGTCCTCCTCTGATACGTCCACAGGCAACCCCGCTACCTGCACTCCATAGCACCACGGATACTCCACATCCGCCCTCGTTATAGCCTGCCTCGCTGCAACGCCATTCCAGGGCCGTTCGCCTCTAGTAAACGCATCTGCGTCGTTTGAAGTGCTCACGCCCCCTTCCACAGCAACATCAGGGTCGCCAAAGCCGCCATTCCCTCTCAAAATCTCCTCCTCCTCGTTTTTCTTTTGCTCTCTCGTCCCTTCCGTGCCCAAGTCTCTCCCTCTATCGCCCAAACCTTCCCGTCCTTGTGGGGCCTCCTCCCCGGTTCGCTCGCTAACCCGTGGCCTCAGCAAAAGCCTGAGTGCGTCCAACCCACCGCTTCTGCCATTGCCACTGATGCTGCCGCTGCCACTGGTGCTCGTGCTGCTCGTGCTGGTCGTACGGCTGGTGCCATTGCTGTTGCTGCTGCTTCCGGTCACCCCAGTAACCGTCTCTCCCGCTCCCACGCCTCCATCGCCCCTAGAACCCTCACTCACGTCCGGTGATCCTCTCTCCCTTCCTTCCTCCGCCGCTCCTAACCACTGGATACCGTTTTCGTCAACATTTCGCTCAAATCTCTCCTCCCACGCTACCGCGCCAACTCCTTCTGTCCCATCCCTCGCTGACATGCCAGCTTCACTCGAATCCTTACACGCGTCAATGCCGTTGCTGGCTTCACTGCTACTAACGGAGCTGTGCCTATCGGAGCTAAGGAAGCTAATATCGGTGCCGCTGATAGTGCCGTCCGCCTCGATCCTACTACTGGCGCTGCCGTTCCCTCTGTCGCCCTCGCCGTTGCTTGTTCTGTCGCGATATCCGTCGCCTCTCTCCGTTCCGCTCCCCACGGCGGATGCGAGGTTCATAATCCGACTCAGCAAGCCGCGATCCGCCTGGATCTCGCCGAACCTGCTCTCTCGGGATCCGAACCTCCTTGTCCCGCCGAAGCTGTTGCCAGCTCCGAACCCCGTTGCTACCCCTGACCTCCCAAGAGGCTCCTCTGTCGGCCGCTCGAGGCTCGGATCTGCTTCGGTTGCACCCGATTCCAGATTCGTGGTAACCCGCCCTTCATTTTCGCAACTGTCGCTACTATGGCTGTCGCGCGACTCGCGTGCATCGCTCGAATGCACCAGTCTCGCGAATTGATCCGACAACAAATCTACAGAATCAGGGGAATGGTTCGAGATGACGCGGCGAGCGAAAGGGATAGAAGATCGAGAACAAAAATGTTGAAGCGATCTGACGCCGGAAGACGCCATTGATGCTTTTCTACTATAGCGCGGCGCGACAAACGGTCATAAAGGCACACGACGCTTAGCTAGGGATAGGCAGTGCAGTGAATATTTGGTCGTAGCGCCAGATCGGCCGCGAGGGATTTATGGATAGGGATGATGGCTGGCGTGATGTCGAATGCTGGTCGCGGCGCGTATGAGCTGAACAGCGTGATTGATCGCTGATCAGCCTGCTCCTCTGCAAGTGTGGTCTTCCAGAAGACCGTCACAAGAAAACGCGCAACAGGGAAACTCGTTAGGCGGCAAAGCTGCAGGAATTCGGCTTATGGCGAATATGTTTGCAACACAAACAATTTCTATGGATTTTGAATTTGTGTTGCTTTGGGGTCTGACAGATTGGTAGCGGTTCGGTGTCAGTTCGTGTAACGAATGTGCCCGAAGAGCTTTGGCGGGCTTTTCTCGAGGTCTCAAACTGAGGCACGTGTTTCCGCACCCATGAGGTTCTTGGCAGACCCATCCGATGCTGTGTATTCGTCAGTGCAAAACAGCAGTCTTCGCTCCTACCGCGAAAACACCTCTCCCGAAACTGAGCAGGGGCGAAATGTGAAAACAATCTCGTCGCTGGTAACAGCTCTGCATTCAGTTTGACATCCTATGCCATTGACAGAGCAAAGAACACCATGACCATGGAGCAGAACAGAGCAGAGCCGTTTTTTGGGGTTTCCCGCCAAAAGCAATCTGTCACCTCGACAACTCAACCAAGAACCAAGGAGCTCACCACAATTGGAAGACAACTAGAACCTAGAAATTACCTGATTGTGCCTCGCGGTTCAGCCCGAACGACTCGAGACAGTTAGAGCTGGCTGATCCACTATCTAGGTTCTGGCGTTTCGTTACCCCGCGCCGCCATTCGATCACGCATTTTCGTACCGACGACGCTCGCGTTTGTAGTAGCTAGTATTTCTGGTCTCGTTTCTTACAGAAGGGACGAAGATCCCGAGTGCCATTTATTTGTCCAGATTCTTTCTTTGAAAGAACGTTCTGATGACGTAGTAGCGTTAGACTCGAAATACAGTTAAGAAGCATTCAGGCCGGCAAGTTGCGGATACACACGTTTGGGTGAATGTCTTTCTGCTTGAAGTGGAGCCTCCAACCAGCATGGATTTGAGCTACTAACTAGTGGGAGTCTCTCTCAAGTCATAGTTTGTTTGATAGTAAAATAAAGACATGTAGGAACCCAGCTAGCAGTATCATTGACGTCACAGTCTGCAGTTAATTAGCCTGCACCGCCATCGACGTCACACAGAGAGGTTGCGATGGGACGACCAGACACGCGAAGAGCGCAGAAGATTCGTATCCTCGTTATACACACTTTCTCTCTTCTCCAAGCCACTCATTCCTTTTATGCACAATCTGGTTCGACTTGCAAGTTCACTTTTGTGCTCGATTCCTCTTTCCCAACGTTACAATCTCCTGTCAGCTTTCCCGACTTTTGCTCTTCGTTCTTCGCTATAGTGTTCTCCCTACTTCTCTATTACCATTCCGGTTTCCTTAACTTGTTACTTCACCACGTAACTTGTACGACTTAACCTAACGGCGACCAGAAACGTTCGCGGCCCACACAGCGAGCGTAAAATGCGTGAGCATCGGACGGAAGACGGGCGAGAGGGTGATCACGGGCGGCGACGACAAGAAGCTGCTCCTTTGGTCCACCCACGACCGCGAGCCGCTGCTCGTAAGTGTTGGTAGCAGCGTGCTGGTAACCCGTTTCAAGGGAATAAATTTCTGTTCGAGTTGTCGACGACAAGAAGCTGCTTCTCTGGTCCACCCACGACCGCGAACCGCTGATCGTAAGTGTTAGTAACAGCGTGCTGGTAACCCGTTTCAAGCGAACGAGTATTCGCGGCCCACACAGCGAGCGTAAAATGCGTGAGCATCGGACGGAAGACGGGCGAGAGGGTGATCACGGGCAGCGACGACAAGAAGCTGCTCCTCTGGTCCACCCACGACCGCGAACCGCTGCTCGTAAGTGTTCATTACAGCGTAACCCGTTTCAAGCAAATAGGTTCCTATCTGGAGGCGACTACAAGAAGTTCTTCCTTAGGTCCACCCACGACCGCGAACCGCTGCTCGTAAGTGTTCGTTACAGCGTGCTGGTAACCCGTTTCAAGCAAATGAGTTTTTATATGGTGGCGACGACAAGAAGCTGCTCCTCTGGTCCATTCAAGAATGGTACTGCTGCGTGTAACTAGTAAGCACAGGTAAATTAAGCTGGCAAGATAGAGTCACTATGGGTGCTGAAAGCACGCTGCTTCTGTCCATCGCGTTGCACCTGTCTACGCCTGCATGCATCAGCCCTCTCGCCGTCTCTGCTCCTGTCACTGTCTGTGTCTGTGTCTGTGGCTGTGCCTGTATCTGAATTTCTTCTCTGCTCCTGTCACTCTCTGTGTCAGTGTCTGTGCCTGTATCTGTATTTTCTTCTCTGCTCCTGTCTCTGTCTGTGTCTGAGTCTGTGCCTGTGTGTGTTTCTCCTTCTCTGCTCTGTTTGCGGCTCAGTCACTATCGCTATCAACCCTTTTCCTGTATCTGTCTCTGTTTCTGTCTCTTTCCCTGTCTCTGTCTTTTTCTCTGTCTCTGTCTCTGTCCCTGTCTCTGTCCCTGTCTCTGTTGCCACCTTTCTCTCTGCAACTGTAGCCAATCCAATTTCTCCATCGCAGAAGCTGAGTGGCAACAAGGGTACATGTAGCGCGCTCTGTTGAGCATTCGTTGTGCCTGTTGCTCGTGCCGTTCCACTCACTGTCTCCATCCTCATCTCTATCTCTCCATCCACGTTCCTCTCTACGCATCCATCTCTGCCGTCCCACGGCAGAAGCTGAGTGGCAACAAGGGTACATGTAGCGCGCTCTGTTGAGCAGTCGTTGTGCCTGTTGCTCGTGCCGTTCCACTCACTGTCTCCATCCTCATCTCTATCTCTCCATCCACGTTCCTCTCTACGCATCCATCTCTGCCGTCCCATGGCAGAAGCTGAGTGGCAACAAGGGTACATGTAGCGCGCTCTGTTGAGCAGTCGTTGTGCCTGTTGCTCGTGCCGTTCCACTCACTGTCTCCATCCTCATCTCTATCTCTCCATCCACGTTCCTCTCTACGCATCCATCCCTGCCGTCCCATGGCAGAAGCTGAGTGGCAACACGAGTGCCATAGAGAGCGCGCTGCTGAGCAGATCAGAAGACCAGGCAATATCGGGCGTGCTCAGTGGCTCTGTGAAGCTATGGGACCTCAACGAGGGCAAAGGTGAGACAACCAAGCACTAAGAAGCTCAGTGTGTCAGTGAAGCTAGCGAGAGGAGAGCGCGCTGCTGAGCAGGTCGGAGGACAAGGCCATCTCAGGCGTGCTCAGTGGCTCTGTGAAGCTGTGGGATCTCAACGAAGGGAAAGGTGAGGCGACCACACACTGTGAAGCTCAGTGTCTCAGTGAAGCTAGCGAGGGGAGAGCACGCTGCTGGGCAGATCTGAGGACCAGGCGATCTCGGGGGTGCTCAACAGTTCGGTGAAGCTGTGGGATCTCAACGAGAGGATAGGTGAGGCAACCAAGCACTGTGAAAGCTGAGTGTACGGTAGAAGCTAGCAAGTGGAGAGCGCGCTGCTGAGCAGATCGGAGGACCAGGCGACCTCGGGCGTGCTCAGCGGCTCTCTGAAGCTGTGGGACCTCAACTAGGGCAAAGGTGAGGCAACCAAGCAATGTGAAAGCTGAGTGAGTCAATGCAACTAGCGAGAGGACAGTGCGCTGCTGGGAAGGTCAGAAGACCAGGCGTTCTCGGGGGTGCTCAGCGGATCTGACAAGCTGTGGGATCTCAACGAGGGGAAAGGTGAGCCTTTTAGAGTGAAGCTATTTGGGACTAATTGGAACTAGGGCAAACTACCCCACATTCTAGCTGTGGTTGCAGTCTCTGTGCCAGTACATTACCAAATGAGTCGTGCACCGCCAGGGTGTGGGACCTGCAGCGGAGGGAGGCGGCTGGCAGGGTCATATCTCTTGATCCCCACCCACCTGTCGCCCTGCTTCTCATTCCCCACCCCCCTTTCCCCAACCCAACCCAGCCTCCCCCACCCCCACACACACCTCCCCCAGCCGGGCCACCGGGGGTTCAGCCATTGCTCTGGACTCCCACCCAGCTGTTTTCTTTTCCTCTGCTTTAACCCCCCTCTCCCCGTCCCCACCCCAACCCCCCCCCCCCCACACCACCCACCCTCGCCAAACCAACCCCCCAACCTCCACCACCACCACCCACACCAGCGGTTCACACCCTGACGGGCCACAGGGGGTCGGCCCTCTCGCTGGATTTCCACCCCTTTGAACCGTTCTTTGCATCGGGTTCCCAAGGTTCCACTGCCCGCGTGTGGGACCCGAGGCAGAAGGAGGCAGTGCACGTGCTGATGCCCTCGACCTGCTTCTCATCCCCTGCCCACCGCCCCCCAACAACCTCCCCCCTCCCTCTCCCCCCTTCCCACACACCCACACCAGCCGTGCGCACGCTGACGGGCCACAGGGGGTCGGCCCTCACGCTGGACTTCCACCCCTTTGAGCCGTTCTTCGCATCGGGCTCCCAGGATTGCACTGCCCGCGTGTGGGACCCGAGGCAGAAGGAGGCAGTGCATACTCTGAAGAACCATGGCAAGGGCGTGGCGTGTGTGCGGTTCAGCCCGGATGGGCAGTGGCTCATGACAGGCGGGCAGGACTCGGTGATCAAGGTGAGGTGGGAGAAACGCAGGGGAAAGGACGGGGGGGAGATAGGGATAGAAGGGCGAAGGCAGAGGGACGCAGTGCATGTGTTGAAGAACCACGGCAAGGGCGTGGCTGTGTGTGCGGTTTAGCCCGGATGGGCAGTGGCTGATGACTGGCGGACAAGACTCGGTGATCAAGGTGATACATTCATTGGGGGAGTGGGGAAGGAGGAAGGAAGGCAGAAGGAGGCAGTGCTTAGTTTGAAGACGCAGGGCAAAGGCGTGGGTTGTGTTCGGTTCAGCCCGGATGGGCAGTGGCTCATGACGGGCGGGCAGGACTCGGTGATCAAGGTGAGACACTAATTAAGAAAGCAGGGAAGGTGAGAGAGGAGGGACCGTGAGCATGCGTGTGTGTGCGGTTCAGCCCGGATGGGCAGTGGTTCATGACAGGCGGGCAGGACTCGGTGATCAAGGTGAGACACTAATTAAGAAAGCAGGGAAGGTGAGAGAGGAGGGACCGTGAGCATGCGTGTGTGTGCGGTTCAGCCCGGATGGGCAGTGGTTCATGACAGGCGGGCAGGACTCGGTGATCAAGGTGAGACACTAATTAAGAAAGCAGGGAAGGTGAGAGAGGAGGGACCGTGAGCATGCGTGTGTGTGCGGTTCAGCCCGGATGGGCAGTGGTTCATGACAGGCGGGCAGGACTCGGTTATCAAGGTGAGACACTAATTAAGAAAGCAGGGAAGGTGAGAGAGGAGGGACCGTGAGCATGCGTGTGTGTGCGGTTCAGCCCGGATGGGCAGTGGTTCATGACAGGCGGGCAGGACTCGGTTATCAAGGTGAGACACTAATTAAGAAAGCAGGGAAGGTGAGAGAGGAGGGACCGTGAGCATGCGTGTGTGTGCGGTTCAGCCCGGATGGGCAGTGGTTCATGACAGGCGGGCAGGACTCGGTTATCAAGGTGAGACACTAATTAAGAAAGCAGGGAAGGTGAGAGAGGAGGGACCGTGAGCATGCGTGTGTGTGCGGTTCAGCCCGGATGGGCAGTGGTTCATGACAGGCGGGCAGGACTCGGTTATCAAGGTGAGACACTAATTAAGAAAGCAGGGAAGGTGAGAGAGGAGGGACCGTGAGCATGCGTGTGTGTGCGGTTCAGCCCGGATGGGCAGTGGTTCATGACAGGCGGGCAGGACTCGGTGATCAAGGTGAGACACTAATTAAGAAACCAGGGAAGGTGAGAGAGGAGGGACCGTGAGCATGCGTGTGTGTGCGGTTCAGCCCGGATGGGCAGTGGCTCATGATGGGCGGGCAGGACTCGGTGATCAAGGTGAGACACTAATTAAGAAAGCAGGGAAGGTGAGAGAGGAGGGACCGTGAGCATGCGTGTGTGTGCGGTTCAGCCCGGATGGGCAGTGGTTCATGACAGGCGGGCAGGACTCGGTTATCAAGGTGAGACACTAATTAAGAAAGCAGGGAAGGTGAGAGAGGAGGGACCGTGAGCATGCGTGTGTGTGCGGTTCAGCCCGGATGGGCAGTGGTTCATGACAGGCGGGCAGGACTCGGTTATCAAGGTGAGACACTAATTAAGAAAGCAGGGAAGGTGAGAGAGGAGGGACCGTGAGCATGCGTGTGTGTGCGGTTCAGCCCGGATGGGCAGTGGTTCATGACAGGCGGGCAGGACTCGGTTATCAAGGTGAGACACTAATTAAGAAAGCAGGGAAGGTGAGAGAGGAGGGACCGTGAGCATGCGTGTGTGTGCGGTTCAGCCCGGATGGGCAGTGGCTCATGATGGGCGGGCAGGACTCGGTGATCAAGGTGAGACACTAATTAAGAAAGCAGGGAAGGTGAGAGAGGAGGGACCGTGAGCATGTGTGTGGTTTTGTCCGGGTGGGAAGTGGCTAATGACTGGCGGGCAGGACTCGGTGATTAAGGTGAGGGCGAAGAAATGCAGGGGAAGGTGGGAGGGAGATGGGGATAGAAAGGTGAAGAACCACCGCAAGGGCGTGGCGTGTGTGCGGTTCAGCCCGGATGGGCAGTGGCTGATGACAGGCGGACAAGACTCGGTGATCAAGGTGAGGGGGGGAAGGAGGAAGGAGGGAGGAAGGAAGGAGGAGGGAAAGGGATAATGGAGGGGTGGAGGAGCAAGGAAAGGGAGAATGTGCTGCGGTAAAGGTTTTGTCCTTGAGCATAGCAGGGCCTGCATTTGCAGGTCCTGGAAAATGAAACATACGTACTGTACTGGTTGTGCTGCTCAACATAGGTACTGTACTGGTTGTGCTGCTCAACATAGGTACTGTACTGGTTGTGCTGCTCAACATAGGTACTGTACTGGTTGTGCTTCTCAACATAGGGTTGGCACCCTCGGAGTGATTCTCTGCATCTCCAGATTCTCCCTCCCGCTCTCCCCACTCTGCAAGCAGCTGTGGGACACGCATGCGGGGATGCTACTATATTCAAGTCAAAGGGAATGGGGGGATGCTACTATATGAGCTCATTCAAGGCAAATGCCTCGTGGGCTCATCCCGTGTCCTAGGAGGCGACGTGATAAAAGTAACACCCTCCCCACCCCCCTGCACACCTCCCCACCTCTCTTGTGCAGCTATGGGACGTGCAGGCGGGCCAGGTGCTGCACGAGTTCAAGCACCTCCCTCTGCCTTGGCCTCACCTCCCCTGCACCTCCTGCCTTCCCCCCATCTCCCCTCTCACAGCTGTGGGACGTGCAGGCGGGCAAGGTGCTGCACGAGTTCAAGCACCACCACGACGCCGTCACCTGCCTCACGTTCCACCCGCACGAGCTGCTCCTTGCTAGCTGTAAGAGGTGCTGTTACCCTGCTCTTGATATCTAGGCCTCCACCCGTTGTCACCTGCCTCACCTTCCACCCGCACGAGCTGCTCCTTGTGTCCTGTTAGGGCCTGTCCCTCTCCCTTACAGGGCACTACTTTATCCTGCCCTTCTAGAATCTAGGCCCCCAACGTCGTCACCTGCCTCACCTTCCACCCGCATGAGCTGCTGCTCGCCTCCTTTAAGGGCCTGCTCACGAGCTGCTTTCTCTCTCTCGCCTGCTGTGAGCGCTGCCACATCTTGCCCTTGTAATCTTAGCCTCCACTCGTCGTCATGTGCTTCACCTTCCACCCGCATGAGCTGCTACTCGCCAGCTGTGAGTGCTGCCCTCTCCCCTTTTGCTTTCTGAGAGTGTGTGCTCTGTATTGCCGTTCAAGCACCACCACGACGCCGTCACCTGCCTCACGTTCCACCCGCACGAGCTGCTCCTTGCCAGCTGTGAGCGATGCCCCATCTTGCCCTTGCTATCTAAGCCTCCACCCGTCACCTGCCTCACGTTCCACCCTTGCGTCCTGTAAGAGCCTTCTCTCTCTCCCTCGCCAGCTGTGAGTGCTTGCTTTCCCTCCCTCGCCTTATCTTGAGCTTCTAAAATCTAGGCCTCCACCCATCGTCACCTGCCTCACCTTCCACCCGCACGAGCTGCTCCTTGCTAGCTGTGAGAGCCCGCTCTCCCCTGCTCCCCTGATCCCAAGACTCCACGACGCTCTCTCCTGTCTCACCTTCCACCCGCACGCGCCGCTCTTCGCCTCCTATCTGTGCCTGTCCCCTTTGCTCTCATGATATCAAATCGTGCCCATTGCTCTGAGGCACGTACGTATCCTGCTTCCTTGCCGTACCCCCTTTCTGTAAGTGTACTTCTAACTTGACTTGTGCATGTGTGCATGTGTGCATGTGTGGATGTGTGCTTGTGTGGATGTGTGCTTGTGTGGATGTGTGCATGTGTGCTTGTGTGGATGTGTGCATGTGTGAATGTGTGCATGTGTGCTTGTGTGGATGTGTGCATGTGTGCATGTGTGCATGTGTGCATGTGTGCTTGTGTGGATGTGTGCATGTGTGCATGTGTGCATGTGTGCTTGTGTGGATGTGTGCATGTGTGCATGTGTGCTTGTGTGGATGTGTGCATGTGTGCATGTGTGCTTGTGTGGATGTGTGCATGTGTGCATGTGTGCCCATCTGTGCATGCATAAACCAGGCTCCAGTGACCGCACGTGCAAGTTCTGGGACCTGGAGACGTTCGAGCTAGTGGGGTCTACGGGTACAGAGGTACGGTAACAAGGGGTGGAGATGGGTGCGCATGTGTGCATGTGTGTGCGTGCACCAGGCTCCAGTGACCGCACGTGCAAGTTCTGGGACCTGGAGACGTTTGAGCTGGTGGGGTCCACAGGCACGGAGGTACGGTAACAAGGGGTGGAGATGGGTGCTCATGTGTGTATATGTGTGCCCATGCGCCAGGCTCCAGTGACCTGGAGACGTTCGAGCTGGTGGGGTCCACAGGCACGGAGGTAGGTGAAAAGGGGTGGAGGTGGGGTACGAGGACTGGAGGTAGGAAAAGAGTAGCAGGTACGGCAGCAGTCTGTTTAAGTGCACACATCACAGCATCCACTAACAGCACAAGGCTGCATCCTGTGTGTTCCTGTGTGCCCCTGTGTGCCTCGGTGTGCCCCTGTGTGATTCTGCAGGCCAGTGGCATGCGTTCTCTGGCCTTCACGCCCGATGGCCAAGCATTGCTAGCTCCTTCTGCTGACTCTCTCAAGGTGAGCTCTTCACAGGCTGGCCGGTGGCCGCATTGAGGTGGGTTTGCTGCTGTGAGCTGTGAGCTGTGCACTGTGCACTGTGAGCTGTGAGCTGTGCACTGTGAGCCGTGCGCTGTGAGCTGTGAGCAGTGAGCTGTGTGCTGTGAGCTGTGATCTGTGAGCTGTGAGCTGTGCGCTGTGAGCTGTGCGCTGTGAGCTGTGCGCTGTGAGCTGTGAGCTGTGAGCTGTGCGCTGTGCGCTGTGAGCTGTGAGCTGTGAGCTGTGCGCTGTGAGCTGTGCGCTGTGAGCTGTGCGCTGTGAGCTGTGCGCTGTGAGCTGTGAGCTGTGCGCTGTGAGCTGTGCGCTGTGAGCTGCGCGCTGTGAGTTGTGAGCTGTGCGCTGTGCGCTCTGCTACATCCCTCTGCTTGCTCGCTCAAGGTGCGTATTGTGCCATAAGAGGTGCCTATCACGAGCCGTCGCCACATGGTTGGTTCTAGAAAGGCTACGTTTTCGTCCCCTAGTGCTTGACTTCAACCAATGTCATTGTGTCCTTTAGCAAGTGATTCCTCCACGCCTTTTGCTTTCTTTTCCCCTCTTGCCCCTTCCCTCCACCCATCTGCAGGGGTAGCTGGGAGCTCGTGCGCTGCTTAAATGCATTCAACCGCTGCCGTGCCTTTCTCTACCACTCTCCCTTCACAGGTGTGGGGGTGGGAGCCCATGCGCTGCTTTGACACGGTCAGCGTGGGTTGGTGGGCGGTGCTAGAGACTCATTCCCACACCCCATCCTCTTCACCTCTCTTCACCAATCTATACCACTTTACCTCTCCCTTCAGGTGTAGGGGTGGGAGCCCGAGCGCTGCTTTGAAACGGTCAGAGTGGGTTGGTCCAAGGTCGCTGATGATTCGTGGACAATCCGTCCCTCCCCCTCACAATAGTCTTCACTGATCCTCTTCACCTCTCTCGGCAGGTGTGGGGGTGGGAGCCTGTGCGGTGCTTCGACACGGTCAGCGTGGGATGGGGAACGGTGCGAGAGACACCCTTCATTTTCATTCATCTTCACTATTCTCGTTTAAACCCATCCGCAGGTGTGGGGGTGGGAGCCCGTGCGCTGCTTTGACACGGTCAGTGTGGGATGGTCCAAGGTAGCTGACGTCAGCATTCACGGCGGCAGGCTGTATGGCGCCTCCTTCTCGCACACCTGTGTCAGCCTGTGGCACGTGGACCTCATGGTATGCCATTCTTTTATGGTACGACGTTTCCTTTTATCACACCAAGTGCTGTATGCTGCCTCCTTCTCGCACACCTGCGTCAGCCTGTGGCACGTGGACCTAATGGTATGGCATGGTTAATGCCATGGTGCCACTCGCATCAACCCCATGCCATGATGCCACTCGCATCAACCTCATGCCATGGTGCCACCCACTCGCATCAACCTCATGCCATGGTGCCACCCACTCGCATCAACCTCATGCCATGGTGCCACTCGCACGGATACCGTGGCATGTGTCTGTCAGGGCATCAAGTTGCAGCAACACTCTACTGTTTTTCTTCTGCTAAAGACATTTTCTGCTAAAGACATTTTCTCCTAGTCTTCATGGCTGACATGTTGCCACTCGCATGGACCCCATGGCATGTGTCTGTCAGGCTCGGAAGCTCTATGACCTTCAAACCACCCCCCCACTCTCCCTCCCTCCCCCCTCGTTTCGCCCTTTCCTCACCACCAGCAGGTGGCGCCGTTTGGATCTAGCGCCTCAGAGAGCACGGAGGAGGAGCGGAGCCTCTCAGGCACCACCATGGGGCTGCCCCTCCCCGCCTCGCCCACTGCCTCTACCCCATCTTCTCCTCCCTGTTTCTCCCCTATGACCTTCACTCACCCCCCCTTTCCCCACTCCTCTCCTCCGGTTTCGCCTGTTTCCCCACCGCCAGCAAGTGGCACCGTTTGGATCTAGCGCCTCAGAGAGCACGGAGGAGGAGCGGAGCCTCTCAGGCACCACCATGGGGCTGCCCCTCTCCACCTCGCCCACTGCCTCTACCCCATCTTCTCCTCCCTGTTTCTCCCCTATGACCTTCACTCACCCCCCCTTTCCCCACTCCTCTCCTCCGGTTTCGCCCGTTTCCTCACCGCCAGCAAGTGGCACCGTTTGGATCTAGCGCCTCAGAGAGCACGGAGGAGGAGCGGAGCCTCTCAGGCACCACCATGGGGCTGCCCCTCCCCGCCTCGCCCACTGCCTCTACCCCATCTTCTCCTCCCTGTTTCTCCCCTATGACCTTCACTCACCCCCCCTTTCCCCACTCCTCTCCTCCGGTTTCGCCCGTTTCCTCACCGCCAGCAAGTGGCACCGTTTGGATCTAGCGCCTCAGAGAGCACGGAGGAGGAGCGGAGCCTCTCAGGCACCACCATGGGGCTGCCCCTCCCCGCCTCGCCCACCACCTCCATCGTCTCCTCTACCGTTTCTTCCGTGTCAACGCCTGTGCACTCCCGTGCTCTGGGGTTTCAAGGTGAGTGCCTAAGTGTGGAATTTTACTCTTGCCTGCCCCGCCCAGCCTCGCCCACTACCTCCACCGTCTCCTCTACCGTGTTCTCCATGTCAACGCCCATGCACTCCCGTGCACCGTGTTATCAAGGTGAGTTATTTGGCGAACCCCCCTGCCCGCCTCCCCCACCACCTCCACCATCTCCTCTACCGTGTCTTCTGTGTCCACACCCGTCAACTCCCGTAGTCATTGTCATCAAGGTAATTGTTCTACTCCTCTCCGCCTCTCCCACCACCTCCACCGTCTCCTCTACTGTCTCCTTCGTGTCAACTCCTGTCACCGTGGGTGGGTCTGCCCCTCCCTGCCCGACCCACCACCTCGACCGTCCCTGTGCACCATGCTATCACAGTGGGTGCCTGTGGGCTTGCCTCGGCCTGCCTCGCCTGCTGTCTCCGCCACCGTCTCCCCTGTCAAGCGCCCCTCCTTGCCTTCCACTTGTCACCACTTGTCACCACTGCTCACCTCACTCTCTTGTGTCCCTTCGCTCCTCCCCTCTTCCTTCTCCCCTCCCTCCACCAGGTGCAACTTCTCACACCAATCGCTCTCCCCACCTCCGCTCCTCCCCCTCACCACATCAGCAGCACCACCACCCCCATCAGCAGCAGAACCACCAGTCCCCCACAGCAGCATCCATCCACCGCACTCGACACGTCTCTCCCATCAAGGGCGAAAACACAGCAGGTCCGAGCCACAAGGCAAATGCCGAGTCGACTCAAAAGCCAGGTCCGGACCACAAGGCAGGTTCGGGGAGCGCCGGAGGCGGCAGGTTCGGGTTTCGTGGTGGTGGCGGGGGAGTGGGGGCAGGAGTGGCAGGCGGGGGAGGGGGAGGGGAGAGCGCGGGGGTGGGGAGTGGGGGGGGGAGAGGGCGGAGAGTGTCCGTGGGAGGAGTGGGGGAGCAGTTGGGTAGGGGCGCTGGGTCAGTGAGTGGTAGGGAGGTCAGGATCGGAGCGGCAGGAGGAGGAGGAAGGGGAGGGGGAGTGGGAGGAGGAGGGGCAGGAGGGGCGGCTGGGGGGGGAGGTGTGGGAGGGGCAGCAGGGGGTAGTTTCAAAGAAGTGGGGACAAGGAGAGGGCGGAGAGCATCCGTATCAGGTGGTTATGCAATCTCCAAGGGGGAAGATTTCTCTTCCTCTGCCAGACGAGGGGAGGGGGCCTTTGGCAAGGGAACCAGGGAGGAGGCACATGCACTCCACTTGGAAAACCCTTTTGAGACGTCTCATAAGATTCCTAGAGAAAACCCCTCTGGGTCTCATAAGATTCAAGCGTTTCTGGACGCTGGAGGGGTGGTTGTTGATGTGACGGCACGATCTGCACGGCATCGGGTGGGGGAGGATGATGATGATGGGAGGTTGGGTGGGTCAGACGTGGGTGGTCACCAGTCTCGTAAGATTCAGGAGTTTCTGGACGCTGGAGGGGTGACTGGGGCTGTGGTTTCACACTCTGCGCGGCGTGGGGTGGGGGATGATGGTGATGGGAGGTTGGGTGGGTCAGACGTGGGTGGTCACCAGTCTCATAAAATTCAAGAGTTTCTAGATGCCGGAGGGGTGACTGCTGCTGCTGCTGCAGACAGAAGTAACAAGGGCAGTCACGCATGCGCAGGGGCCAACTCCTCTGCCTCGACTGCTCCAGGAGTAGATACACCAGCGAAAGCAGCAGCTGGGGTAGATTCAGATGCCACTGTCACACCAACTGCTGCAGCCTCTGTGCCTACTCGGGTTCAGCCAGCTGGTGTGTCTCGTGGTACTACACAAGCAGGCGCATCTGCTTCAAGCACAGACACAGGCGTATCTGGTGCAGGTGGTATTCTGGGAGGGATGTCTGGCTTCGGCGTGACGTTTGACTGGAGCAGAGCAGTGGCGACTGCAGGAGGGGGCGCGGGCAGCAGGGCGGCTACAGTGGTAGAGGCGATGAATAAAGTGTCTGACTGGATTGGGTCGTTCTCTGGCCTGGAGGATAGCTTGGGAGGGGGAGGAGGGGGCAGGAAGGAGGTGGGGTATGCCGGAGAGAGAGGGGAGGCGGGAGGGGAGGGGAATGGTGTTGGGAATGAGGAGGGGAGAGGAGAGGAGCGGAGGGGAGGGAGTGAGGGGAGTGAGGGGAGTGGGGAGGGGAGAGGAGCAGGGGTGCAGAGAGTTGGGTCTGGGCAGATTAGCGGGTGGAGTGAGGACGAGGAGGGAGAGGGTGAGGGTAACGGTGGGGAGAGGAAGAGCGATGGTGCTGCTGCGAGTGATGGTGGTGTTGCTAGTGGTGGGCCTGCTGTTAGGAGTGCGACTGTGGGGGGTAAAGCATCGGTGCCAAGTCTTCGAGCCCCGTATGCTGTGGATGGAGAGGGGGAAAGGAAGGAGGAAAAGAAACGAGAGGAGGGTGGAGAGAAAGCAGATGTGCACAGGTCTGGGCAGGGGAAGGAGGAGCATTCAACAACCCGAGAATGGAGTCGGAGTGAGGACGACAAGTACAAGATCCGGCCATCTATTCTCCACCCGCCTTACGCTGTAGAGGTGGAGGAAGGAGGGGTGGAGGGCACTGCTGGTGGGGATGGGAGAGGTGGCAGTGACAGTATGAGGCGGCATGGGTCTGCCGGGGAGAGGGTGAGGGAGTGCGAGGATAGGGGCATTGGCTTGGTGGCGTCTGCATCTGCGTCTGCATCATTCCCGACAGGAGGAGTTGTTAGAGAGGATGCTTGTAGAGAGTATGGCGGTGCACGCGGCAGTGCATGCGAGTCAGCAGTGCTGGCTTCTTCGTCCTTGGCATATTCTCTCTCCGCCTCCTCCCCTCCCTCCTCCTCCTCGCTGTCTTGTAGGGCAGAAGCAGGGGCAGACAGGGGTGTGGGAGCAACGGGAGGAATGGGAGGAGAAGGAGTGGGAGGGGGAGCAGGAGGGGCAGGAGGGGCGGGGGATTTGATACCAGCTGGTGTGATGGGAGGGGTGGGGAGCAGGAGGCAGGGCAGAGGCATTGGCTGTTCTCCCCTGTCCCCACGCTCTCAGACGTCACAAGTGCAGCCAGCACAGGTGCAGTCAGCACAGATGCAGCCAGCACAGATGCACGTGCCACAAGTGCCAGCAGTGCAAGGCAGAGCAGCATCTTCAGTGGGGGTAGCAGCACAACAACGGACAGCAGGTGCTCGACACTCAACAGCAACGGGAGGAGCAGCAGGAGGAGCAGGGAGCGTTCTGCAGTGGTCTATGAAAGTGAATGTGGACGAATTCACACAGGTGAGAGGAGAGAGGACGGGTGAGAGAAGGCGGCGAGAGGAGAGGGGTGGGAGGGTAAGGGAACAACGGGGTTGTTGCACCTATAGAAAAATGCTGCGGACTGCAGTGGTCTATGAAAGTGAATGTGGACGAATTCGCACTGTTGAGAGGGAGGGAAAGTGGAGAGTTTAGGTGGGAGGGGGAGAGGAGTGGGAGGAGGTAGACGCACATGCAGCACATGCTGCACATGCTGCTGTAAGCAATGCACTTACCCCCGTCTCTCCCAGATTCATTTTCCTCTCTGCCCCTTTTCCCATCACACACACACCCCTCTTTACCATCGAAGCAGCAGAAGAAGCAAGATGAGGAGGAGGATGACGAGATGATGGTGATGGAGAGAGAGTGTGAACGGGCGGCACACGGCCATGCAGCACATGCTGTAGGGATCAACGCATTTACCCATTCCTCCTCCCACCCCCACTCCCCGCCCTTCCCCAGCCCTCTTTACCATCCAAGCAGCAGAAGCAGCAAGAGGAGGAGGAGGATGACGAAATGGTGGTGATGGAGAGTGTGAATGGGCGGCACACAGCCATGCAGCACATGCTCCAGGGACCAACGCTTTTACCCTTGCCTCCTCCCATCCCCATTTCCTTTTCTTTCTTTCCCAGCCTCCTTTACCATCGAAGCAGCAGAAACGGCAAGAGGAGGCGGGAGGAGACGAGGAGGATGACGAGATGGTGGTGATTGAGAGTGTGAATGGGCGGCACACTGCCATGCAGCACATGCTGCAGGGAACAACGCATTTACCCTTGCCCCACCGCGTCTCGTTTCCCTTCTTCCGTTTCCCAGCCCTCACTACCAAGCAAGCAGCAGAAGCGGCAACAGGAGGAGGGGGAGGAGGAGGACGAGATGGTGGTGATGGAGAGTGTGAACGGACGACTTTTGAGTCGACTCAAAAGTGTGAACGGGCGGCACACGGCCATGCTCCACATGCTGCAGGGGAAGGGCTAATGCATCTACCCTTGCCTCCTCCCACCCACCCCCACTCCTTGCCCCTTCCCCAGCCCTCTTTACCAAGCAAGCAGCAGAAGCAGCAGCAAGAGGAGGGGGGAGACGATGAGGATGATGAGATGGTGGTGATGGAGAGTGTGAATGGGCGGCACACTGCCATGCAGCACATGCTGCAAGGACTAACGCATTTACCCTTGCCTCCTCCCAACCCCACTCCCCGCCCCCTCCCCAGCCCTCTTTACCAAGCAAGCAGCAGAAGCAGCAGCAAGAGGCGGGGGGAGACGAGGAGGATGACGAGATGGTGGTGATGGAGAGTGTGAATGGGCGGCACACGGCCATGCAGCACATGCTGCAAGGGAGGCTGTCTGCAGTGCGCCACGTGGCAGCGCTGTGGGTGGATGGCGAACTGCTGCCCGCCCTCTCCGCCCTTGCAGCCTCGAAAGACCTTGCTGTGAGTGCAGCACGGCTTGCTCTCACCACAAGAACCTTGCTGTGAGTGAACTATAAGGGCCGTGCCATGCAGCACATGTTACAGGGGCGGCTGTCTGCAGTGCGCCACGTGGCAGCGCTGTGGGTGGGTGGAGAACTGCTGCCCGCCCTCTCTGCCATTGCGGCCTCAAAGGACCTTGCAGTGAGTTCGAGAGGCGCTGATTCAAAAAAGGCTTTGAAGTGGTGGCTTGTTCTCACCACACCACAACGACCTCGCTGTAGGCGGCGGAGTTCCTTTGAGAAGACTAGCATTTTTTACGGGAGGGCACGAGAGCATGTGGAGGATATGAGGCAGTGCAGCGCGGCTAACTCTCACCACAGGGACATTGCACCTCTCGTCCTCCTTTCTTTTTTTCTTTCGTATTCCCTCCGTTCTCCCTCCATCTGATCTTCCTCCCCCCTATCCTCCACACTTCAGGTGATGGCAGACGTGCTAGAGGTGTTAGCCATGCAGGGAGGCAGGCGGCTGGTGTGTCTGGGTGGGCTGCTGCTGCTGAGGGCCCCACTCACCATTCTCCCTGCCTTCATCCCTTTTCTCTTCCCTTGTTTTTCCCCACGCTTCAGGTGGTGGCAGACGTGTTAGAGGTGCTGGCCATGCAGGGAGGCAGGCGGCTCGTGTCGGTGGGCTCCACTCACTGCCCTTGCTGCTTTCATTCCCTCTTGCGTCCCCTGATTCGCCTGTGCCTCAGGTGGTGGCAGACGTGTTGGAGGTGCTGGCCATGCAGGGAGGCAGGCGGCTGGCGTCAGTGGGCATGGAAGGGGTCTTGCAGCTGCTGAGGGCCCTCTCGTCTCTCCCCTTGTTTTTTCTATCTTACACCTCTGTACTTCAGGTGGTGGCAGACGTCCTTGAGGTGCTGGCCATGCAGGGAGGCAGGCGGCTGGTGTTGGTGGGCATGGAAGAGGCCTTGCAGCTGCTGCCTCTGTTGAGCCCTTTCTTATTCCCTTCATATTCGTCCCTCCCTTGGGCCCCCCTGATGCTTCTGTGTCTCAGGTGGTGGCGGACGTGTTGGAGGTGCTGGCCATGCGGGGAGGCAGGCGGCTGGTGTCGGTGGGCATGGAGGGAGCGTTGCAGCTGTTGCCGCTGTTGACTCCCTTGTTATTCCCTTCTCTTCCTGTCACTGTCTCTCCCTATTTCTCCGTCCTCAGGTGGTGGCAGACGTCCTTGAGGTGTTGGCCATGCAGGGAGGCAGGCGGCTTTCATCGGTGGGCATGGAGGGAGCATTGCAGCTGCAGCCGCTGCTGCGGGCTCTGCTCGCCAGCAGCCACTCCAAGTGAGTGGTCTTGAGAAGTGCTGTGTGCTGTGTGGTCTTGAGAAGTGCTGTGTGCTGTGTGGTCTTGAGACGTGCTGTGTGCTGTGTGCTGTGTGCTGTGTGGTCTTGAGACGTGCTGTGTGCTGTGTGCTGTGTGGTCTTGATACGTGCTGTGTGCTGTGTGCTGTGTGGTCTTGAGAAGTGCTGTGTGCTGTGTGCTGTGTGGTCTTGAGACGTGCTGTGTGCTGTGTGCTGTGTGGTCTTGAGACGTGCTGTGTGCTGTGTGGTCTTGAGACGTGTTGGAGGTGCTGGCCATGCAGGGAGGCAGACGGCTGGTGTCGGTGGGCATGGAAGGAGCCTTGCAGTTGCAGCCGCTGCTGAGGGCTCTGCTCGCCAGCAGCCACTCCAAGTGAGTGGTCCTGTGCGGTCTTGTGTAGTGCTGAGTGTTTCTGAGTGATTCTGAGTGGTGCAAAACAGTGCCATTAAGACCTCAAGGTTGTGAAGCTGCCATGCCTCTGTCACCAGTCTCTGCTCTGCTGTATTGTGAAGCAATGTCCACGCTGCAAGCAAGGGGCAGATTCTGACTGTCCCTTTTGCAATCCGATCTTCTTCCTTCTCCCTTCCACCCCTCCCACACCACAGGTACGTGGGGGTGGCACTGTCACTACTGCGGGAGCTGCTGAGTGTCAAGCTCACCCTCTAATTCCCCCCCTCCCTACCTCTCCTCCCCCTCACAGATACGTGGGAGTGGCGCTGTCGCTGCTGCGCGAGCTGCTGAGGGCGTTCAGTGAGCCCATCACTGCTGCTCGCACCGCCACGCACTCCCCTGGGGTGGACCTGCATATGGAGGAGAGGTGAGAACAAGGGAGGGAGGGGAGAGCACGGGAGGTTGAATGAGGCAATGAAGCTGACGCTCAAGGCCGATGGGCGTGCGAGGGAGCTGCTGAGGGCGTTCAGTGAGCCCATCACTGCTGCTCGCACCGCCGCGCACTCTCCTGGAGTGGATCTGCATATGGAGGAGAGGTGAGAGTATGGGAGGGAGGTGAAAGCAAGGGAGGTAGAATGAGGCAAGGAAGCGGGTGTGTAAGGTAGATGGATGATGTGCGTATGGGCTGCTGACGGCGTTCAGTGAGCCGATCACTGCTGCTCACACTAAAACTCATTCTCCTGAGTAGACCTTCACATGGAAGAGAGGTGAGAGGGAGGGGGGTGAGAGGGAGGGAGGTGAGAGGGAGGGAGGTGAGAGGGAGGGAGGGAGGTGCTGTAACTTCTGTTGCTACCATCACTGCTGCTCGGACTGCCACACACTCCCCTGGCGTGGACTTGCACATGGCGGAGAGGTGAGAGGGAGCGAGGGAGGGGAGAGGGAAGGAGGGGAGGGGGTTCACTGGAGGGTTGAGAGTGTCACTGTTGCTTCTCTTCAACGTTGGTACTAATATATGTCTATTCTCTCGGCATGGGCTGGCATGTCATGGCATGGGCTGGCATGGCATGTAAAACGACGGTGTGTTGAAATCACGGCAGGTTACAGCGGTGCAATGATTGCTACGAGGGCTTCAGAGTGCTCGAAGATCAGCTTCACCCCATCCTCAGGTGCACTCATCTCAGATTTCCTCCCCTCCTCTCTTTCATGTCCTCCTCTTCCCCCTTCACTATGCAATGCTTCATTTGTAGGACAAGCGAACTCGGGCTGTGTGCCTACACCTGGAAAACAATGAATATTGTATATTTGCCTCTTTTTTATCCTTATGAATGAGCAACGGTGAATGGCATTGTTGCACTACCATAGAGCTGCTTGCGTCATTGTGTTCTGCATAGCCATGGTTTTTTCTTCTCCCAACTTACCCTCCTCTCCTCCCTTGCACCTTCGCAGGAGAAGGAGCAATGAGAACTATGCCCTCGCTTCAGATGTGCATATGCTGTTGCAGAAAATGCAATGACTGGTTTTGCACCCAATCAAACAAGGCATAACATAACTATGATAGGTGTAAGGGTTCTAAGCTGACGCTCCTGTGCTGGAAAACAAATGTAATGCCAGGGGGTTTTACAATGTAAGGCGTTATCGAGTTCTGTGATGAACTTTAACCCTGACGTTTGTGTGTACCTCTAATATCGGGGATATCTGTTCAAAGCCACCCACCAACGGAGTTCTACTTCCAAGCACATGACAAATGGCGACGGCCAGAGTGTCAGCGGCATAGGGTGAGCACGTAGCAAGAGTTGCAAGAACAGACCTCTAGGAGCTCAGGATAATTACCTAATGCGGGTTTAGTTGACTCGCTATACACAGTGTTTCTTTCCTAGTTGGGGCGATGCGCAGACAAGCATCCGGCTAGCCGTTTGAACGACTCGCAAGTCCCGCCGGCTTCGCTATCCGTGTGTGTCGCCATCCGTGTCCGCGTGCGACACCATCCGCGTGCGGCGCTATACGCGTGCGACGCTATTTGCGTGCGACGCTATCCGCGTGCGACGCTATCCGCACCGTGATGATGCGGCCTGATTTTAAGGACTGAGCCGCGCCGTCGAATGGGTCGCGCGTTTACCAACACTCGTGGCGCGAAACGGAGTGGCGGCGGAACCGGAGCTCCGACAGAATTAGCTGGGCGGGAGAGGGAAGGGGAATACGCGTTAGAAGAGATTCGTTATGCTGCGTTCACGACTGATGGCAGGTAGTGCATGCAGAGGCCCGGCCGTACGTACGTACGTTCTCTGCAGTCCTTTCGCAACCGTTGCCACACCTTGACTCAGTGCCAACCACGCGGTCCCTTTTGCCTCCTCACCCATTTCCGTCACTCCCCTCTTCTCACCTGCCCCTCTCTACTCTCCCCATTTCCGTCCCCCACCTTTCGCCGTAATTATCCTCCTTGGGTTCAGCCACGTGGCAGTGGCCACGTCAGCAGGTTTCAAGATATTCCGCTGTGCTGACCTGGCGCAACCCGTCGTAAGCCACCTGGGCGTGGGGCCGATAAAGATAGCGGAGCTCACTCTCGTCGCGCCACGTGGCTCAACGCCATTGGTTGCATTTGTTGGCACAGGAGACACGGTATTGCCCCTTGCTCTCTCCCCTCATTGCTGAAATGTGCCGGCTCATTGCTGTGTCGTTTCATTTCTGTACTGCTCATTGCGGTATGGCTGTTTGTTCGACTAATTCATCAAATCTCTCTCACTATGTCCAATCTTCAATCGACGACCCTAGACCTTGAAGGCTTGACCTATAGTGTCACTTTACGGCTACTTCATCACATTTACTTTGCCCTTTGTAAACCTTCACCTTTCTGCTCCACCTTAAACCCATAGCTGCCCTGCTACAAGGTTGGCAAGCTTGTAACGCCTGTGGGCAGGGTTAAGGGCATTCCGATGCGCCAAATAATACCATTGTTTTGACCCAGTGGGTAGTGAGATGCTATTCCAGACTCCGAGCCTAGAGCTCAAATTTCAGCTGGTCTACATTTTCCGCGTGTGGCGAAAACTCAAAAGTGGTTGCCAGACTTTATTTCAGCGAACTATCCTCTGCTGGCCTGAGCAACCAGCAAAGTCGCTGCTAGGAGCACAGCGAAATATAGGTCCCTTCAGGAGGGGGCCGAATCCCTGAAGTTCAGAGCCAATGGGGACGTTGGCACAGGGGGGAACGAGTGTAACACCTGTGGACTGTGTTATGGGCATTCCGCTGTGCCAAATAACACCCTCGTTTTGACCCAGTTGGTAGCGAGGTGTTATACGCATGGCTGTGCCTCAGCTGTCCATCCCTCCATCCTACCCTGCCACGCCACATCCGCCATCCTGCTTGAAAAAAGAAAAGAAGAAAAAAAAGAAACTGAATTTGCAGATATTGAGTGCGCCCCTCCCTCTGTCATCCTGCTATCCATCAACCTCCCATTTTCCATCCCTCCATCCCCCCTCCCTCTCCAGCCGCATTTGTCGCCTCGAGATCTGAACCTTGTTTCCATCGCCCATCCCAGCTTCCACATCATCCCCCCTCCCTCCATCCCCCTCCCTCCATCCCCCTCCCTCCATCCCCCTCCCTCCATCCCCCCTCCCTCCATTCCCCTCCCTCCATCCCCCTCCCTCCATCCCCCTCCCTCCATCCCCCTCCCTCCATCCCCCTCCCTCCATCCCCCTCCCTCCATCCCCCTCCCTCCACCCCCCTCCCTCCATCCCCCCTCCCTCCATCCCCCCTCCCTCCATTCCCCTCCCTCCACCCCCCTCCCTCCATCCCCCTCCCTCCATCCCCCTCCCTCCATCCCCCTCCCTCCATCCCCCTCCCTCCATCCCCCTCCCTCCATCCCCCTCCCTCCACCCCCCTCCCTCCATCCCCCCTCCCTCCATCCCCCCTCCCTCCATTCCCCTCCCTCCACCCCCCTCCCTCCATCCCCCTCCCTCCATCCCCCTCCCTCTACCCCCCTCCCTCCATCCCCCCTCCCTCCATCCCCCTCCGTCTATTCCCACCCCCTCCAGCCGCATTTATCCCCTCGGGAGTTGCATCTTGCTTCCATCGCCCATCCCACCTTCCCACCGCCCTCCTCCTCTTCCCGGTCCTCCTCCTCCCCATCTCACTCTCCTCTCACTCACCACCCAGACAGCTTCACTCACACACACGCTCTTTCCTCCTCTCCTTCCTCCCTCACCCCCCTCGGTACCCTCTCCTTTCTCACCATCATCACTGCCGTTCGCCTCAACCACTCCAGGTGAGCTTCGAGGCACCTTCCTGCCCTCCTTCTCCAACTCTCACGCCTCTCAGTAGCCTCTCTCTCTTCTCTCACACCTCTCGGTGCCCTCTCCTTCCTCACCGTCATCACTGCCCTTCGCCTCAACCACTCCAGGTGGGTTTTCAGGCGACTCCAAAGTAATATTATTTTTCACTCCCTTCTGTGTCCCCTCCCGCTTCTCTCACCCCCTTGGTACCTCTTACTCATCTGTCATCCGTCTCCCTCCCTTTCACCCCTCTTGGTGCCCCCGTGTTCCATCTCTCACCCCCCTCGCAACCCTCTCCTTTCTCACCACCATCTGCTGTTCGCTTCAACCACTCCAAGTGAGCGTTCAGCTGACTCCAAATTAGTGTTTCGTTCCTCACCCCTCTCTGTGGTGTTTCGCTCCTCACCCCTCTCTGTGGTGTTTCGTTCCTCACCCCTCTCTGTGGTGTTTCGTTCCTCACCCCTCTCTGTGGTGTTTCGTTCCTCACCCCTCTCTGTGCCATCTCCCACCATCTCTCACCCCTTGCTGTGCCATCTCCCTCCATCTCTCACCCCTCTCTGTGCCCTCTCTCTCATCTCCCACCCCGCTGTGCTTCTCTCTCTCGTCTCTGCTACTGTGTGTTGCTCTCATGTTGTGCGTGCCTGTATTACAGGCTACTAATCCTTCTCAATTCAAGGCTATCAGTGCATGACTGTGCTTCTCCCCTCACCTTTTTCGTCTGCCACCGCTCTTGCATTGTGTGTGCCTGTACTGCAGGCTACTAGTCCTCCTCGAGTCAAGGCTATCAGTGCATGACGTCACTCCCCAGGGCGTTGCTGCCGGCTTCCCTCTGCTGCTTTCCCTCACAGTCGCCCCGAACCCCAATGGTGGGTACACATATAATGAGCAACAAGCACAGTTACAGCAATGGTTGGTGCTTTGCAGTATGAGCGCGCAAGCTGGGCTGACACACCCCTCTGGTTGCTGCTCACCCTTAAGGGTGTTGTTGCTGATTTCCCTCTGCTGCTCTCCCTCACAGTCGCCCCAAACCCCAATGGTGATCCCTTCTGCCCACATGAATGAATGAACAACAACCACAGTTACTCCAATGGTGGTTGCTAGCCGAAAGGACAGTCCTAGTCACATAAGCATTCAAATCATCCCACAGTCGCCCCTAACCCCAATGGTGAGTCTTCTGCCCGCCCACATGAATGAATGAATGAACAACAACCACAGATACTCTCCAACTGTGGGTGCATGCCACATGGTCACTGCTTGTCATGCTGTGTGAAGCGAACACTGCGTGAAACTTTTGAGTCACTTAGCAACACGGGTGGCCCATCTCAACCCTCTTTCCCCCCCCACCATGTTCGCCCTGTCATTCTCCCCTCCCCTGTTCCTCCCAGGCATCTGTGCTCTGAGCCCGCTCTCTCCTCGCTCCCTCTCCCCCTCCTCCTCCTGCTTCTGCGCCGTTCCTGCTGCTCCCCCTCGCCCCTCCCTCCTCTCCCTCACCTCGCTAACTTCCTCCTCTTCCGCCTCTTCCTCCTCCTCCTCTGATCAAGGCTCGCTACTGCTAGTCGATCTCATCTCTCTCCAGGCCTTTGGCCAGGTGGGTTTGCTGCCCCCCCTCCTCGCCCCTCTCTCCCCTCCCTCCTCTCCCGTGCCTCGCTAACCTCCTCCTCCCCCTCCGCCTCATCGGATCAACGCAATCTGCTGTCAGTCGATCTCATCTCTCTCCAGGCCTTCGGCCAGGTGAGCCTGTTGCTGCCCGTGCTCCTCTCTCTCCTTTCAATGCCTCAGTCTCTCTCCTTTCAATGCCTCGGTCTCTCTCCTTTCAATGCCTCGGTCTCTCTCCTTTCAGTGCCTCGGTCTCTCTCCTTTCAATGCCTCGGTCTCTCTCCTTTCAATGCCTCAGTCTCTCTCCTTTCAATGCCTCGGTCTCTCTCCTTTCAATGCCTCGGTCTCTCTCCTTTCAATGCCTCGGACTCTCTCCTTTCAATGCCTCGGTCTCTCTCCTTTCAATGCCTCAGTCTCTCTCCTTTCAATGCCTCGGTCTCTCTCCTTGCTTGCCTCCCCCTCCTCTTCCTCCTCATTGCCTCAACGCACGCTGCTGCCAGCCGATCTCATCTCTCCACACGCCTTTGGCCAGGTGAGCCAGTTGAGGTGCATCAAAAGCCGCCTCCTCCTCCTTCTCCTCCTCCTCCTCCTCCTCCTCCTCCTCCTCCTCATCGGATCAAGGCTCTCTGCTGCCAGTCGATCTCATTTCGCTCCGGGCCTTTGGCCAGGTGAGTCTGCTCCCCCTCCTCGCCCCTATCTCCTCTCCCTGCCTCTATCCCTCGCCTCCCTTGCCTCCTCCTCCTCCACCTCACCTGATCAAGGCAGGCACTCTGCTCCTAGTCGACCTCATTTCTCTCCAAGCCTTTGGCCAGGTGAGCCTGCTGCTGCTCCTCTCCCTGCCTCTGTCCCTCGCCTCCCTTGCCTCCTTCTCCTCTTCCACCTCATCGGATCAAGGCACTCTGCTTATAGTGGACCTCATTTCTCTCCAAGCCTTTGGCCAGGTGAGCAGGTTTCTGCTGCTGTTCCCGCGCTTGCCCACGCCCCCCTTCCTGCACCTGCTGCTGTTTGTTGGTCTCATAACCCTCCAGGCGTTTAGTCAGGTCGACTGACCTTCTGATCAGTCAGGCGATTCAGGTGAGTTTTTCAGCCTCTGTTCCTGCCTGCTGCTGCTACTCACCCTCTCCATTACTGCTGTTCCCTTTCCTCAATCCCCTCGTTTCCCAGATCAAGGCTCACGACGAACCGATCAAAGCCGTTGCTCACAGGCCTCCGCGTCACACTCTCAGTCCGGCATTCCCTTCCCTGCTTGCCCTTTTCCCACCCCCCCTTATCCCAGATCAGGGCTCACGATGGGCCTCTCACAGCCATTGCTCACACGCCTGCACGCAACACTCTGACTCCCGCTTTCCCTTCCCTGCCTGTTCTTTCCCCCTCACCGCTCTCCCAGATCAAGGCTCATGACGGACCGATCGCAGCCGTTGAAATCACCTCGCTGCTCCCAACCCTCCCATCCCCCACGCGGCAAAATGAGCCGAATTTGCAAGGGGACGGAGAGGGGGGAGGAGGAGGGGAGGAAGGGGGAGAAGGGGGAGAAGGCGGGAATGACGAGGGAGGACGGGGAGGAGGGGGATGGGAGCTGCTGGCGTCAGCATCTGCCAAGGGCACTGTGATTCGAGTGCACTGCATCCGGACAGGCAACAAGGTGGGGGCACGTGCATTCATTGAATCTGGTCCATAGTACGAGAAATCACAAAGACACGGTTATTCGGGTGCACTGCATCCGGACAGGCAACAAGGTGGGGGAAGAGAAGACAGGACTGTGGTTTCTGTGATCAATGAACCTGGACCATTGATGAAGGCACCGTCATTCGGGTGCACTGCATCCGGACAGGCAACAAGGTGGGGGAAGAGAAGACAGGACTGTGGTTTCTGTGATCAATGAACCTGGACCATTGATGAAGGCACCGTCATTCGGGTGCACTGCATCCGGACAGGCAACAAGGTGGGGGAAGAGAAGACAGGACTGTGGTTTCTGTGATCAATGAACCTGGACCATTGATGAAGGCACCGTCATTCGGGTGCACTGCATCCGGACAGGCAACAAGGTGGGGGAAGAGAAGACAGGACTGTGGTTTCTGTGATCAATGAACCTGGACCATTGATGAAGGCACCGTCATTCGGGTGCACTGCATCCGGACAGGCAACAAGGTGGGGGAAGAGAAGACAGGACTGTGGTTTCTGTGATCAATGAACCTGGACCATTGATGAAGGCACCGTCATTCGGGTGCACTGCATCCGGACAGGCAACAAGGTGGGGGAAGAGAAGACAGGACTGTGGTTTCTGTGATCAATGAACCTGGACCATTGATGAAGGCACCGTCATTCGGGTGCACTGCATCCGGACAGGCAACAAGGTGGGGGAAGAGAAGACAGGACTGTGGTTTCTGTGATCAATGAACCTGGACCATTGATGAAGGCACCGTCATTCGGGTGCACTGCATCCGGACAGGCAACAAGGTGGGCTGCGAGCAATCAAAACAAGGTGGGCAACACAATGGGTCTTCCTTCCCTGCATTCATTGAATTTGGACCATGTTAGAAGCATTATCTACCATGTTAGAAGCATTATCTACCATGTTAGAAGCATTATCTACCATGTTAGAAGCATTATCTACCATGTTAGAAGCATTATCTACCATGTTAGAAGCATTATCTACCATGTTAGAAGCATTATCTACCTTAGGCACATGGAAGGGAGAGGATGAGCCTTCCTTTCTTGCATTTCGTGGATTCCTTGTTGAACAGTGTTAATAATTCTAACATTCCGCTCAAATTTCTCAAGCCACCCCACAATCATTCTCCCTTCATCCTACCGCCAATGCCACCCCTTCCTATCACTGCCCACCCCTTCCCACCCCTTCCCACCCCTTCCAACCCCTTCCAACCCCTTCCCACCCCTGTCGCCAGCTCTTCTCTTTCAGAAGAGGCGCCCACCCTGCTTCTATCTTCTCCATCTCCTTCTCCCCGCCAGGCTCTCTCCCTCGCTCTCTTGCTCTCACCAGCAGCACCGGCACTGCCCATATATTTCATCTCCCTCTCCCCTCCTCTTCCGCCTCCTCACACTCCTCCTCTCACTCCTCCCCTCACTCCTCTCATTCTTGTCACTCCAACTTCAGTTCCTCCTCTTCCTCCTCCTCGTTCTCTGCATCTGATCAATTCGGGAGCTCCACTGGCAGGAGGCACAGCGATGTGACTGTGCACCATGTGACTGTAGCGGGGGAAGAGAGGTGAGTGGTGGGAGAAAAGCAGGAGGCACAGCGATGTGACTGTGCACCGTGTGACTGTAGCAGGGGAGGAGGTGACTGGTAGGAGGGACAGCAAGAGGCACAGCGCTGTGACTGTGCCCTATGTAACTGCAGCGCGGGAAGAGAGGTGAGCGGCAGGAAGGAAATCAAGCTGAAATACTTAAGCATGATCAAACCATAAGGGTGGGGAAGTTAACTTATGTCAACATTCTAATCGGCACCAAGTTTGATGACGCTTTTGAACGCCATTCGGAAATCACTTTTGAGAATTCTCTTCAGTGTCAACATTCTATTTGGCACCAAGCTGTCCATGCTTTCAAATGCTCCACGTTCGTCCCATCTGCAGAGAGGTTCACGTCAGAGCGCTATTGCTGTGAGCCTTGTGAGAAATCTCAAAAGCTCACGCTTTGCCCTGAGAGTCCCAGAGTCACTTTTGAGAATTCTCAAGAGAGGTTCACGTCAGAGTGCTATTGCTGTAAGCCTTGGGGAGTAAAGCTTCGCAGTAGCATGGAAGGAACGCTGACAGCTCTGTTACCCTGAGACCTAACCTCCTGTTTTCTGAACTGGATGGTTACGATGCCCTCTCACCCGCCTGTGCATGTTTGAGTCAACTCAATAATAAACTATATGGATGTGATATTCTCTCACCTGATTGTAACGCCTGTGCATTTACCCATGCATGCACTCTCCCCTTTGGTGTGCAGCATCTGTGCCATGGCTGTCCACTCAACTGTGCCGCAGCAGGAGCAGCAGTTTTCGCTGCAACAGCAGCAACAAGAGCACCAGCCTCAACAGCAGCAGCAGCAGCAGCAGCAGCAGCATAGGGGGTGAGTTCCACCCACTAGCACTACAGTACACACTTAAGCTTTGAGAATTCTCAAAACTCTCTCGCGACCACACATGCACTCACTAAGTATTGTCAGGGCCACACACAAGCCAAAGTACGATGCAGGGCCACGTGCAGGGCCACACGTGCAGGGCCACACATGTAGGGCCACGCATGCAGGGCCACACATGCAGGGCCACACGTGCAGGGCCACACGTGCAGGGCCACACGAGCAGGGCCACACGAGCAGGGCCACACGAGCAGGGCCACACACAAGCCAAAGTACGATACGCCATTTGGTCCTGTACTCTTACCCGCCTTGTTGTACTGCTTTCTGCACTCCAGTGGTGAAGTAATGGCAAGGCAGATTATGCAACACACCAGTGGTAGTGGCAAAGATTATGCACCTCATTGCAAACAGTTGTCCGTCGACCTGACTCTGCATCACCTTTCCACCTGCTTTTCTTCATCCACCAACTTTCTTCCTCATGACATCTTGCCGTGTTTACAAGTTTCTGCTTTTTAATCTGTTCTCTCTTTCTAGTCCTCCTCCACTGACCAAACCTCCTTGAGCAGGCCTTTCTTGTACTTATCCCTACTCCTGCCACCCCGTCCCCTCTTCCTTTCTGCCTTCTCCCCCCTCTCTCCAACGGCATGGCCAGGCTTTATCTGAGGGTTTTCACGTCCACTAGATCCTTCAACGAGTATTGCATCTCAGCCGGCCAGCAGCATGCTACTTAGACCAGGGAAATACTTCACCAGAAATAACAGGGACGGGATTATTTGAACCTGTTTCTGGACGTCCTGTCCTCACTTCCATTTGTTACTGGATGTTGTTACCAGCAAGAAAGGGATCATAAGTACTACCCTTGTATAATAATAAGGGTACATTCCGGCCTTGACATGTCCATTAAGTAAGTGCCACAAAGGCAATGTACCACTCTGCACCGCATTACACATAAATAGCAAACGTTTCCACCGCACTGTCTAGTCTTTTGCGACACGAGGCTTTTGTGACACGCTTCCCGAATGTACTGGACGAAAGAAAGAAGATTAGTTTACCGGAATGACGACCAATTCGAGGTGTAACTGGACATGTAAACTTGCATGCTTGCCACGTTCATGCATTGAGAACCTTTCTCCTCACTCACTTATTACCCTAAACGCAAGCAAACAGCTGCAAATAGCTACACGAACACAGTCTGGTCATCTAGAGTGAACTTGTTCTGGTTGCTTTATGCCTCTGCCTCAAGAAGAAATGAGTAGTTCCCAGAAGCAGAAGAATGACCACAGCAGCAACAGCAATGCCAACTCCTCCACTGGCACTCGATTTCCACCTCCAGATGCTGCTGGTGAAGTAGCCACGCTGCTGCTGCTGCCGTTGGTGCTGTTGCTGCTGCCATTGGTGCTGTTCCTGCTGCCATTGGTGCTGTTGCTGCTGCCATTGGTGCTGTTGCTGCTGCCACTGGTGCTGTTGCTGCTGCCACTGGTGCTGTTGCTGCTGCCGTTGGTGCTGTTGCTGCTGCCGTTGGTGCTGTTGCTGCTGCCATTGGTGCTGTTGCTGCTGCCGTTGGTGCTGTTGCTACTGCCTTTGCTGCTGCTGTTGCTGCTGCTGTTCGTCTTTATTGGGCCTGCACAAGCAGAGAACCACTCTGTGGTGATCATAGCAAGCTGTTTACCACGAAAAGCTTCAAGACAGTGAAGACGGGCAGATTCAAATCAGAAGCACAGAGCAGCCAAGCAACACGAGAGCCCATACCATGGTTCGGCGCAACCTTTGGTTCTCCAAAGACACAGCTTTGCCTTTTGTCGTGCTTCACATGCCTTATGTAATTCTATCATCAACACAGTACTACTCTGGTGAGAATCTGCTGTAATCACTCGCCTGCAGGTTTGCCGCAAGTCATGCAAAATGATCTACACGTCAAGCAAAAACCCGAGATCGGATCTTGTCTTGTTTCACAGTCGGTGTTGTCAGGTGGGCACGTGAGGTTTGTTCCAGTGACGTTGCTGCAAAGGAAAGGGGGGAGATCAAAATGCGAAGTCATGGGCACAGCCGCACCGACCTTGACATTACAACTACAAATGGGAACAGTGGTGGGGCTAAGTGGGAGATAACGAGAGAGAAAAGCGACAAACAGGTGACGGGAAAGGATTTCTCAGTGGAGAAAGGAAAAGAAGAGAAGGAGCATGTTGGTAGACACACACAAGGGAGGCCGCAAGTGGGAACAGATGGATGTGAAGATGGTGTCAGCTTGCCCCTATAGGCAGACATGTCGCGAACCATGCCATACCATCCAAACGAATCCAGGTCACTCATTTACTGTTCTTTCTCCTACAAGAGTGCTCTATGCAAGCAAAGTTGGCCAGCCTACTTCATCAACCTAGTAAGAGATCCTTTGAGTCAAAGAGGTTTCCATTTCCATTCTACTGGTAGATGGAAGGAAAGAGATGAATACTGCTCAACAGACGTGCTGATAGGTGAGTTGTCATTTGTAAGAACCAGAAAATGCAATGACATTAAAGCAACTTGTGGGCATGGCTAGAGGGACAGCAAGCACACACAAGCGATATTGATGAAACAAAGCTGATAAGGTAGTGCAACTAGCCATACGGTTATTTCTGTCAACGGGAGTTGTTGTTGGCCCCGTCCTCGCTTGGGCGGAGCCGACTTCGTGGTTGGGTGTACGGGAGGTACAGCCGACTTGCAGCAGTGGCCGACGCCGACTTGGGCGAGCTGGTCGACGGGGTTGGTCGACTTGCACGGGGCCACTGCAATGCCGCCGACTTGGGAAGCCGGCGGCCGACTTCAACTGGTGGTCGGCGATGTGGCACGTCGACCTGGAAGTCGGCGCCGACTTGCAAGGTCACCGACTTGCAAGGTCACCGACTTGCAAGGTCGCCGACTTGCAAGGTCGCCGACTTGCAAGGTCGCTGACTTGCAAGGTCACCGACTTGCAAGGTCGCCGACTTGCAAGGTCGCCGACTTGCAAGGTCGCCGACTTGCAAGGTCGTCGACTTGCAAGGTCGCCGACTTGCAAGGTCGCCGACTTGCAAGGTCGCCGACTTCAAGAGGTCGGCCCGGAAGTCGGCGCCGACTTGGTGACGCCGACTTCTGGTAGCCGACTTGGGTGGTCGGCTGACGACTGTGCTGGTCGACGTGGAGCTGGTCGACCAGGAGTGACGTCGACCTGGAGCTGGTCGACCAGGGGTGTGGTCGACCTGGTGAGGTCGAATGGAGGTGGTCGTCGACTTGGGAGGTCGACGGGCACATACAGGAGCACCTGGTCGACGTGGTTGCCCGGTCGACCAGGTTACCTGGGTGACGAGGTTCTGCGGAAGAGTGCGACGGTCGCCCAGGCGATGTTGGCGAGACTGACCTCGGTGGTGGTATCCCGAGGTCGACGTGGCGGATCAGGTGGAGTCGTCAGCACAAGGATGACTTGGTGTGTGCGTTGTGCAGGTGACGAGGCTCAGCACGCCAATCATCTGCGAGCACCTGCGAAGCTGGTGCGCTGCTGTTCTGCGGGAGCAACGCTGGCACGCCGTCGACCTGCAGCGTTGGCACGCCGTCGACTTTGCACTGCTGGAACGCGGTCGACCATGCTGCGCTGACAGTCGACCGACCTGAATGCTAGCTCTGATGTAGTCTTGTCTTGCCAACCTGATTGTACCATTGTTGTCAACTTTCTCTAGTGAAACTCTTGCCAACTTGCCCCGTGAACTAGCAAGCAGTGTGTGTGCACTAGGAAAACGACTAAGGACCAACAAACGCAGAGATCACACGAGCACCCGTGCCTAGCCCGTAATCTAGCTCCCGTTGTAGTAGTTATCTCTGCATGGTGCGGTGAGCGTGGATGGCACACGACTTACCTTTCCGTCAGGTCGATGTAGAGGTCACTTACCTAAGTTGTTCGTAGGCCGGCAGCCGTACAGTCACTAGCGTGCGCGTAGGTGACACCAAGGTGATGGACACCCTGGAGGGACGGCTGGAGGATGCGAGGAGACGCCATGAGGCCCAGGAGTATGGGACGATACCCTGGGCGGTCGTCGAGGCTGGACTCCGCTCTGTGTGGGCGACGGAGCATCCCCCTTCTCAACCAGCTTCTCCTCGACCGGTGACCAACGAAGGCGGCGTAGACGTGGGCGTCAACGCCGGAGGTGGCCAAGTCGGCAGTAGTGCGGGAGGCACGTCGAGGCAGAGAGGTGTGATTCACGCCGATGAAGTCGGCGGCGTTCAGGCGCGAGGGGTGCAGTCGTCGGCGGCTGCAGGCTCCTCGCAGGGCGACGTCGGAGGACGACGAAGCGGATTGTCGCCGATGTCGGCGACCCAGGTGACGGCGGGCGGGATTGCACCGAGCTACGGCTACTTCAAGTTTGCGCCGGACAGGATCTTGGTCACCCCGCCGCTCGTTGGTCGACAGGACATCCTCACCTGGAAGGAAGTCATCGAGCCCCAACTGGAGATGGCTGGGCTGATCAACTTTGCTCGAGGTACTGTGGCGACGCCGGACGACCCCGACTTACGTGCGGAGTTCCGAGCAGTGCAGCTGTTGACCTTCATGGTCATCTCGCGATGCTGCTCGCCGGGCGTGCAGATCGCCTTGAAGTGGTGTCGGGAGTACCTCGACGCCGGCCACAAGGCGTGGCACTTCATTGAGTCGACCTACCAAGTCACCGACGACCTGTTCATTTTCCAGCTGGAGGGACAGCTAACGCACCTGCGTATGGGCGACGAGGAGACGGCGACTGACTACTGCAACCGGGCCAGGCAGATTCTCGCCACCATCAGGATGGCCGGCGCGCAGTACTCGACGGCGTCGTACGTCACCCACATCATGCAGGGACTTTCGAGCAACTACAACCTCATGAAGCGGCTGTCAATGGCACCGGGCACGAGGATGAGGTTCAACGAGGACAACTTGACCTCGTACATCCTGCAGGACGATGCGATGCAGGAGGCAGAGCGGTTCCAGGAGCTCTTGGCGCAGGCGAACTTCGTCGCCCCGGCGAAGCAAGGTGGCCGACCGGGGCAGCGCGGACAGTCTAGCGGCGGTGGTAGCAGTGGCTGGAAGTCGGCCAAGCAAGTCGACAAGAAGAGGTCGACCAAGGACAGCGGTCGAGGAGGAGGAGGTCGACGTCGGGAGTGCTGGCTATGCGGCGACCCCGTGTCAGATATATATGCCTTAGCCTATGTAGGCTGTAGTGGGGTAGACACTAAGGGGTACAGCTTTCATATTTGTATCTCACACTTTCCTAGTTCATTCATTCCTGTTTCAATCTTCACATGGTATAGAGCGGGTTCCCTCATGGGACCGTTCCTTCCTAAGGGCCCACCATAAGTTTTTTTTTTTTTTTAGCTGCCCGAAGCGCGTCTCGCGCCCTGCCCTATTTTTTTTTTTTCGCCACCCCCTAGCGGCCCCTAACGGCCCCTACGCGGCCCCTACGCGACCCTACGCCGCCCCTAAACGGCCCCGTCGCGGCCCCGTACCTGACGCGGACCCGTCCCTGACGCGGCCCCGCCCCTACCCGGCCCCTACGCGGCCCCTACGCGGCCCCTACGCAGCCCCTACGCGGCCCCTACGCGCCCCCCCCACGCGGCCCCTACGCGGCCCCTACGCGGCCCCCACGCCGCCCCTAAACGGCCCGATCCGGCCCCGTCCCTGACGCGGCCCCTACGCGGCCCCCCTACGCCACCCCTACGCGGCTCCTACGCGGCCCCTACACGGCCCGACCCGGCC